ATCAAATGTTTATAATTAATTTGGAATTACCACCTCATTCCTTCTGCTTCAGAGAGTAACTCTACTGCCCCAAAGTCACTGGCTAAGGCTGCAGGTTTGTCATGGTGGGAGAAAAGTCATGTATAGCATGATTCCCATTAGTCTGTGGCCATGACTCACCTGGCAGTAGCGGCGCTTGTCCAGTGTGGCTGGGCCCACCTCCCTGCTTCAGATGTTGCAACTTGGCATGTGGGGTTGCAGCACTGTGGCGATTTGGCATGCTGGACCCTCTGTCATGATGAGGGGGACTAAAGCTGAGCTGCACTGCAACCCTGAGCACCAGGTCTCAACGCCCAGAGCAGGGCACTGGGCCTAGCCCCGAGGGACATGAGCCACAGGAGCTGCCACTGCCAGGTAAGCATGGGGCAGGCTCTCTCTCCAGGCCCTCTCTCCAGGCCTCCCGGCCCACCATGCTGGGATCAGGGTTGGTGAGCTGGGGGCAGAGGATGGTGCTGCTGCATGTGGTCGGTGCCCGCACCGAAGCACGAAGAGAACTTTTTAAATCAAAAATCAGGGAGTCACAGTAAATTTAGCAAACCATGACTTCTACTACATTTACTGGGACTGCTCTGTGATTTTTGATTTAAAAAATGCCATGACAAATTTGCAGCCCTATGGGAATTGAAAAGCGGGCTGTCAAAACGTTAAAATAAACCTAACATAACGTGGTGTGTGTTTGTCAGCTAATACACAGGAACCCTGAGTGCTTAGCCATGATGCTGCACCTTGTGCCTCAACACACACCAGGTGTGGGCATATCAGTTGATAAACACCCAGCCCATTACATATTGTTTACTTACATGTCCCATTTACTAACACTTCACTTTATTAATAAGTGTCAAGTTGAATTTTTTAAATAAAAATCCAGTTTGATAGCACTCCCTTAGAAAATAAAATTCTGCACATGCCATTTATGTTATTGTGTAAAATATATGAGGTTTTCCCCCCTTTGCTTCCCTGCTGATATTTATAAAAGGTCTTTTTCAATCTGGCACGGTGGGCAAGCCCAAGAACATCTCCCACACACTTGGGAGCCCATTGCTGTCTCTCAAATTGCAGTTTTACTGCTGCTGTTATTGGTAACTTTCCCCAGGTCCTGCAAGAGGGAGAGTTTGCACATGGGCTCCCAAAGGCACCTTTGAGAGTGATGTATGAGACAGGAACTGAAATGGATCATCAACACAACACTGAGACGGACTATACACAAAGTGCTGTGACATGTACAAAGCAAACAAAATGAAAAGAGAACATATTTTTCTACGTTCTTTCAGTTGCAGTAACCTTAAGTACAAACTTTTCAAACTGAAATGTGATTTTCAATTAGACTGTGTCCCTTTAAATACCACAGAAAGTACAAGCAAAACATTAAGTGTTGTTTTAAACTAAGATAAAAAGTGTTTTAAAGTAAAGTAAATAAATACTTATTGCCTCAGTTTCAAACAAGCATCAGTTTTGTTCTTCGCTAGAGCCGCTGTACTACTTACCTCCCATTCGCTCCATTATGGCACCCAGAACCAAGCCCGCACAGGTTTCCATCACAATCATTTTGTTGCCAGCTCGGATATTTCCCAAAGTCAACATTTGAGCTAGAGTATCATACCGCAAATGGCTAGAAAATAAATGGTTCTTTTACTTTCAGTGCCAAACAGCTTTGTCTAGACTTAAAAGCATTGTGCATCAGCCCATAAAGCTGTCACCAGCAAGAGGCATGTTAAAAAGGAATTGTTCAGGAACTATATCAATGACAGTGAGGGTCAGAGTCCCAGAAGAATACAACTAAGTCTGTTAATCAAGATACACTGAGAACAAAGCGAACATGCAATTAGAAGCAGTGAGGCATTTAGTACACAAAAGTGTTCAGTGGAAGTATTAAAGGGTAGGAGATGAAATGGTGAATATACTGACGCACTGATCTAAATGTGCACCAGCCAGAGTGCAAGTTCTTTCAAATTACTGTATAATTCTCTGAATTATCGTAGAGTCAGTTTTGTAAGGACATGAAGTGTCTTTAAAAGCAATTTTATTCCCAATAATGCATACTTTGTAATTATTTTTATAATATTTTCAATTCCCCCCCCCTCTCCCTCTCTGGAGCAGTAGCACCTACAGGCCCCAATCATTAATCAAGGCCCCACTGTGCTAAGTGCTGTATGCATGTAATAAGAAAGTTAGTTGGAGCCCGAAAGAGCTTACAACATGACAAGAGTTAACAGATGAATAAAATAAATTAAGGAGAGAATGGATAAGATTAAAAAAAGAAAAGATAAAAGTTAAACAATCATGACTAACATAGTAAGCAACAGTCTAATCAATAGTCTCAATATCTTATGGTTACTTTATATGATTAAAAAATAATGAATAAGTCCAGGTTGGGAGGAAAAAAAAACCTATACTGAATACCAGTAGGTAATTATTCCATTATATATTTAAATTAAGTCATATGTGGCTTGGTTTGTTTTCAACCCCAACTGCATTTTTAAAATTTCGGAGGGTTCTAGAAAGTAATAATTATGTTTTTTAAACTCTGACTTTTTTTTTTTTTTTACTTTTTCCCTCTTTATTTCTGCTAGGTGGCCCCATTTCTTGGCTGCTGACCCATAATACAGAGGCAGGATCCTGTCTGACCAGAAAGTGGGAACTGGCAGCTCACCAAAATGTGTTCAGCAGCAGTTGAAGGGGGATTTATGTGATGAGGTAAAGAGGTACAATTGGTCTCATATAGATGTTTTACTTTTCTTACCCAGTCCAAGGGGATATTAGTTCCTCAATTATTTTTCATTATTTAGAAATTTTGTATTGACAGGAAAAAACTAAATGTATAAATCATCATTTTTAATTCGTAACTTTAAAAAATCATGTTTCCAATCATACTTTAAAAATGCATCTTCACATTTACTTCTTTTAAAATATACTTACTTGATTTTCCCAGGTTCCCTTGCATAGTACATTGTTGAAAGAATGCGGGTAGATGGCTTTACAATTGTAATAACTGCCTCATATCTGTAAGTAAAAGCACAGTAATATTCTTAAAGCTCAACAAATTAAAGAACTACTAAACTTTCCTGTCTTGTGAACTTAACTTACTTTTTCTTCTTCTTCTTTATGTACTTATCTTGGGCAAATTCTGTTTTGCCTCGAAACGTTGTACTGTTCTCTATTAATTGTTGAATTATTTCCTTGAAAAAGAGATTAAAGATTATTTTTATTGTATCTGGTTATTTCCCACTTATTTCACACACAATATATTTAATATTTTAACACACAATATTTTAAGGGAGGCGTTAACATAAGAAACATTTCTCACTCACTACAGATTTATGCATGCAGTTGCCACTAACATCAACGAAAGTTTGCACGGTAAATTCCTGCTCATTATTGGGGCAAATAAGACATCTGTCTCTTTCAACATGTAATTGCAAATAGGAATTAAAAAAAAACCCAAAAAACAGCACAAATGGAGAGACATTCTTTCAAGAAATAATGCCAGCTTAAAAATTATATTGTGAGAATGTTGTTCTTTAGGGCAGGCACTAAAGGGTGTGTGTATAATGCCTAGCAAAATGAAGCACTGATCCTGATAGTTGCTACCACAATGTAAATATATGGCAATCTACTATTGTTAACACCACCGCCTAAGATCACAGTAACTGAAATAGAAAAGAGACACCATATTTTCAGTTTGTTTACTTTAGGCAATTGATAACACTTTGTATATAGTCAATTTCATAGTTTTCCATGTAGAGTCAGTTTCCTCTGTACGAGTCTCATGCAAAGTTACAGAGGAGAGAAAAATATTTTAAAAGTAGGAAAATGTAACAAAAAAATCACTACAATTGGCAGGGAATCTCATGGACATGCATAGTATTTGAAACTAATTTTAACTCATTTTTAAAAAATTAACTAGATTTCTAATTAATAGTGCCCCTTTAATGTATTTTGGGTGATGGAGGTGGCAGGAAAAGGATTAATTTAGGGAGTTTGGGCAATTTGTTTTTAAACATTTTCTAAAGCGACAACAGAACCGTTTTCTAATTTCAAGTAACACATACACATGCCGTTCAAATCTATATTAAAGGAAGTCTACCAAAGGAAATGGTGGAAACCTGCTACCAATAGACATTTAAACATCTAGACATAACACTAAGGAAGAAAATTAAAACTGCCAGGAACAAGCCTGTTCTGACAAAGAAATTGGGCTAGATGGCTTTTTCCAATCACTAACTCTATAATTCTGTGAAACATGAAGCAGTTTTCTTCTTCCAGTGTACATGACAATCTGTGCCACTCTACCACCAGCCCCACCTATAATAAAGCGGTTGCACTTTCAGAAGATCTCTGCTCTGTATTGGGCATCTAAATTAAGTGGCCAGTTTTTCCAGAAGTACTCAAGAGCTTCCATTGAGAACAATGCCAAACAGACAGCAAAATGAGACATCAATTAACAGGGAGCTGAGTTCTTCTGAAAAATCTGGTCCCAACTGAAGGTGATGATCACTGTTCAAAAATCAGGTCCCCTCAAGAAACAAGCCTTTTCCATCTTTAATTTAGGAGAGTCTATGAAAACTTTGACACAAGAAAATGCAGCTAACAAATATCAATGTACTTTCTACCACTTCAACTGCAGTTTCATGAAGGAACACTATCTATGGAAGCTAACATCATAACCAAAGTGAAGTCTATAGTTATACTTCAGAAATCAGTTACTCCAAAAAAGAATATTTTAATAAACTGTATTAATAATATAGCAGAGATATGGCAGAGATGCTGATGATACACAGGAAAGAAATTATCCACATGAGATGTCATCTATCACAGATGAGAACTAACAGAAGTTATCAAAGCTCTGAAACTGACTAGTGCATTCCTTTGGAACTGATGGATATCAACAGTTGCACAACAACAGAATAAACAAGTCTTCAGTCCTTATCTATTTTTTTTTTTTTTAAAGACGACAACCCAGGTCTTTAATGTGACTTTATTCTTTCAATGAAAAGAAGAGTGAACTATTATGCGACCAGAGCAGAGGCAGTGGATGACTCGTACTTCCAGTTGGGTGGGAGTACTCTCTTGGTCTTGTAGTAACAAGCCAGCCTGTGAATTCTGCTCTCAATCAGAATCAGACGAAATTTGGCATCTTTTTCCTTTCTGTTTCTCTCAAGATGTTTACGAACAGCAACAGCTTTCTTGATCAAGTGGTACAGATCCTCTGGAAGGTCTGGGACAAGTCCCTTGGACTTAAGGATCCTTAAAATTTTGTTGCCAGTGACAAAACAAACTTGGGTAACACCATGAGAGTCCCTTAGGATTACACCCATCTGTGAGGGAGTCAGACCTTTCTTAGCCAGTTTGTAGATCTGTTCCTTTACACCATCAGAAGTAAGTTTTAACTATGTGGGCACACTGCGTCTAGAGGGCAAGGCTGACTGGGACAGGCCCTTCCCCGGAGCGTGCACGCGACCCATGCACACAAGCAACATGAGAGCTGCTTTGAACAGTCGCAAACAGGAAGATAAAACTGGACCTTGCAAGGAGAATATAGCAAGTTTAATCAATATAAACATAAGAGATCCCCCAAACTCTACTAGAAAGGAAACAATGGAAATTTGAAAGTTTTATATAATGAAGGGTATGTCTACACTGCAATTAAACACCCATGACTGGGCCTTTTCAGCTGACTCAGGCTTGCAGGGCTGTTTAATTGCAGATTAGATGTTTGGGTTTGGGCTGGAGCCCCGAGGAGGGTCCCAGACCCCAGGTTTCAGCCCGAGCCCGAATGTTTACACCGCAATTAAACAGGTCCACAATTCCAAGTCAGCTAACATGGGCCAGCCGTGGGTGTTTAACTGCAGTGTAGACATACCCAAAACATAGGAGAGATCATTAATTAAACACTTTAAAATCCCTTTATCAGTTGCTACCATAGTATGAAATTGGGTAATTCCTTCTTCAAGGAAGCAAAATTAACATCTTGAGAATGTTTAATTTTAACACTTAGCTATGCAGATGCATATAGAAATAAATTTATCAATGAAGTCTGACCTAAAACAGGGATTGGCAATATTTGGCATGCAGCCTGCCAGGGTAAGCCCCCGGTGGGCCGGACTGGTTTGTTTACCTGCCGCATCTGCAGGTTTGGCCGATCGCGGCTCCCACTGGCCGCAGTTTGCTGCTCCAGGCCAATGAGGGCTGCGGGAAGCTGCAACCAGCACATCCCTTAGCCCGTGCCGCTTCCCGCAGCCCCCATTGGCCTGGAGCGGCGAACTGTGGCCAGTGGGAGCCGCGATCGGCCGAACCTGCAGACATGGCAGGTAAACAAACTGGCCCAGCCCGCCAGGGGGCTTACCCTGGCGGGCCGCATACCAAACATTGACCTAAAAGTATGTGGTACTATATTCACATTAACATCTGCATACTTTCACATCCCTAACTCTTTCTTGGACCTCCGATAGTTATATATCATTGTATGACATTTAATATACATCTGTACTATGAAAATATTTGCAATACGTATCTAACCCTATTTAAGTGAAGTTCAAAACTGAATGAAAATACTGTGCACATTATGTACATTTTTTCTGATGTTCTGGGTTCCTCCCCCGTTTCTTTTGATGTCATGACAATTCTTAATGTGATAAAAGTTCAGAAATCATGTTCCTTTTTAACTGTACAATTGTCAACTTAAATGAAAGACTTTCCAGAAAATACGGTCTTTGTAAAAATACATTTTAAGAAGCTATGTAGAAAGGGAAAGTAAAACAGAATGCCATAAAGAAAAAGTACTGAAGTTTGACTTTCTACTAAAATTAAAAAAATGGCCCTAATTCATAAACTCAAATACAATCATGAGGGTAGCACAGAAATGACATCAAAACCTTAATGTTACCTGTCCTTTAATACCCTTGTCCTTCAAAGCCTTTATGTCATCATGAGTCAGTTTTTGAGACTTTCCATCATCAACTATGTTACGATTATCTGTACCTGCTTCTTTTGTTTCTAAAGAAAAAGGATATAAATTTGTAAAATACTCTAGCTTTAAATATTTTTTACTGGAGACATGTATGATTTTAATTTCACAGAAAGCAGACTACAAGGATTCATCCCACATGCTTAGTGGCTTTGCGTTAAGTTTCCTAAGCAATCAGCTAACCATAATATATAAAATAAAGATAAAGTATGTCTTTACCAATGTTAAAGATCAAGTACTCTTACACCAATATTAAAAACCTTTCTTTACTTTTCATAGTACTATTGAAATATTAGCACTGCAGGACAAAACAATGCACCTTGTGACAGAAAAAAAATGTCTACTGAAAGTTCATAAAATTCTTAATGGAAAAATAATCTCTCTCTTTGTTCTCAGTAAGGAAGCCATTTACTTGCCAACAGTTTTTTCCAATCACAAGTCAATCCCGTCAAATACCTGTGGTAGTCTCTTCCATCTTTTTCTTTGGCTGAAGGCTCCCACCACTAGATACCTCAAATGTCGTTCCATAAATATGTCCAATGGCATTATCCAGATAGAACCACTGCTTTTCGAAAATAACTTTTCTGAAATAATTTTTAAAACTAAATTAATAAAAAATAATCATTCATTCCAGTATCAATTTGCCCAAGAGACTGAGATACAGTGTTAAAACCTAATTACAATTAAACATAGTACTATAAAATTCAAGTTCAAATATAATGTCCTATAAGTGTAGTAAATAAGTGTTTATTATCACTATCTATACATCCATGCTAGCATGAAACTGACCAGGAGTGCAGCAAACTTAAAGGACCAAAGAAATTGAGATAAAAAGAAAAAAAATTCAGTTCACAGAAGTATTAACAACATGCTGATTGCCAAGGTAACATAGCAGGATGTAGTAATGGTATGTCTTGAATTAGGTTTTAGAATAAGAATTGGGTCAAAAATGTCAGCATGAAAATGGAGGAATACAGCAAAAATAGGGTAAATTTGGGGCCTGTCACTCGGAAAGGAAAGCTGAGTGGACACTTAGAAATCCATAAATCCTGCAGTGTCCCTTTGAAAGAACTTTAGCAAAGACTTGGAGAGAAGGTCTACGAAACAGGTGGAAAGACTAGTTTTCCCAACACACACTCAAATAAGTGCAAATTATCATCTCCCTACAGATAAGATAGTATTAAGGGAACCTTGCATTTTGGTTTAACCTCGGAGATTTAAAAAAAAATCAAACAACAAAATTACTCCTTGAGGCCCTAATCCTGCAAGCTGATCTGTGTAAATGGAACTCTATGCTGAGCAGAGCCTCGCTCATTTAGCAATATACCTATCAGTTTCTGTGCCATACATAGGTTGGTATCCAGACTGTCTCTTACCATGTCAATGAAACACAAATAGGACCAAGTTTTCAGATAGAAAAAACAAAGCAAAGAAACATTAAATTCTTTCAAGTACCAGAGGGGTAGCCATGTTGGTCTGGATCTGTAAAAATGGCATGCATCCGACGAAGTGGGTATTCACCCACAAAAGCTTATGCTCCAATACGTCTGTTAGTTTATAAGGTGCCACAGCACTCTGCCATTAAATTCTTTGACATTCTAACACTCCTTTGCTTGGAATTCATAATTCATATACATTTTTAAGTGTGCAATGATTACTGTACTTCCAAATGCAATCAAATATTTAAATCAACCATGCAAACATAATAAAAACTATAATGGTCCAAATACAAAATTTACTTGTGTTTTCATCTTAATAATGGCAAGGAAAAAACTAATGGTATTTTAGTTGCTTACCTAAATTATTCGCTTGCCCCTGGGCAACAGGTAAATAGAATTTTGCAAGGTTAAGTACTAGAAAGGCTATGATTTAATAAAAGCCAAGCAAATGTGTCCTCGTAGTTCATGGTAATGCATTCGTAGACAGAATACCTACACAGAATTCATAAGCCTGAAGTCAGACTTTGAATTTGCTGACTCATCAGTTTGTGAAATAAAATAACCTGCTTAATGCTGAAGTTATTTAATTTCCTGTAGCAATATTGGTTCTTACTGATATCTTGTGTTTTCATTTATAATTTGGGTTGGGAATGGGGAAGAGACTGCTGGAAATTGAATGTAAAAAATGTCTATGACTTTTGGGATTTAATAAAAGATTTTAATAACAGTGCTGTGTAATAGTAACAAAGATTTATTATTTTACAGTTAATGCTACTTGGCAGCTTTTGAAAAACACACAAGTCCACAGTCATCTGCTGGAGTGGCAAGAGCTGAAGACACATATGGAAGTAATCTGGACACTACTCCAGGCAGTGGTTTTCGACCAGGGGTCTGGGGCCCACTGTGGGGGCTGCAAGCAGGTTTCAGGTCTGCCAAAATAAACCAGAGAAAGCAGGGCCAGTGTTAGACTCACTGGGGCCAAAGCCCGAGCCCCAATGCCCAGGGCTGAAGCCGAAGCTTGAGCAACTTAGCTTTGCGGGCCCCAGGCAATTGCCCTGCTTGCTACTCTCTAATGCCAGCCCTGGCTTTTAATCTACTGGATATGCAGAAAGAGTTGTTGGAGCACAGGTGGGCCATGGGGGGGGGGGGGGGGGGGGCTCAGAAAAAGTTTAAGAACCCCTGCTTTTGGTGGTGGCATTCTCCACTTCCTCCACAGGGAACAGGTGGGAGGCCCCTCTTCCTAGGCATCTTCACCAAAACAGTGGCATCTGTACACCACAGCAGAAATAGCTGGCTTTCTCCCACTACCTGAAAAGCAGTGACAGGACTGAAGCAGTCTCTCTGCACAATCAGGAAGATGTCACTGTATCTCCATCAAAACTGATATCCCTTTGCTGTGCAAATGCAATACTCTCCAATGCAAGACAAATTTATCCCTTTCATTGAGATTATTTCAGATTCTCTGCGAGCAATTAACTGCTACTCTTCATCCACTTTGCACAGATGTACCAGGCATACAGTGAACACACAGTAACTAAGTTCTCCTTATATCTGGCCGTTTTTCTTATAACAACATAACCAGAAGCCTCCTTGCCCCGATAGGACTCTCTGGCACAGAAGGCAAGCCTGGGGTAGGACGCAGTCCTACATCCTGGTCACCACAACAGTCCAGAGTTGCAGCTAACTTGCAAATTAATTAGAGCTGTCCCTGAGGTTACTCTACTGTACCAGGCGCCAAAGCAGACTCTGACAGCCCCAGATTTGTGACAGTGCACTGCCTCCTTTTTCTTGGTCCCTGCACTGGGCTCAGCATCAGAGTAGGGATGAACTGGTACTTCTGTCTCAACAGATTCAACACAACATTGATTTGCAGTCAGTTCATACTAGGAAAGCTAGTTTACAACCAGAGTAACTAGAAACTTACAAAAATCATGGCACTTGCCCAGAGAAGATTGCTACTCAATCTTGGCAAGTGGATTTTTCCAGCCCTGCTTCTTGGTATGAAGATTTTGCTCTTAACGAAATAACACTCTACTTAAGTATGATGTTTTTAGCAATTATTTTTTAAAATTCAACACTAACTTATCCCAACAATTTGTCTAAGAATTTAAGAGTGATATGTAGACTCTCTTAGCAAGACAGCAATACAGGGAAGAAGGTAAGTAGCACATCTGCAGACGTGACAGAGAGGGGAAACAAACTTCAGGAGTCCCACCTATCAGTCTTCTGTTTTAACCAGTTATCCACTTTAACAGAGAAGGCAAATGGTATTACATATAAAATCTGCCTCCTGGATGTGTTTTTTCTCTTTCCTGTCAAAGTCACATTCTGTGCATAACAGTGGTTTTCAGGACCAATTCTGAAAGAGCAAGCCTAACTTGAAAAGTGACCAGAGCTTAAGAAACTGACTTTCCGATAGTGAGCAACAAAACCTTCTACATACATGCAGTGATGTATTCCTAAATCTGCAGTCTGCTCCAGAGGCTCTGTAAGTATTCATAGCTGCAGAGCAAACACAAAGTATTGCCAGTTTTCCCCCCCCACTACTGGTATCCTGTCACCAAAGCCAAGGTGCTAGGGCAGAGAAAGGTTGAGTAGCAGACCCCAGCCACCCCACATAACTCCCCAGACACACACCTTTGCTGCAGCCAGGAGCATCTATGGCAGGATAGGGGACAGAGAGAGGGCTTCTTCTCTACTTTGCAACACTATGAACAAATATGAGCATGCAAAGTATTTCAAAGTTATCAGATAGACAACTGGACATTAATAGAGGATGCAGACCGTAAAACGAGGGGCAACTATTTCCCAGCAGCTACAGGGAGAGAGGTTGATTTCTCACGTGTGCACTGCCATTGAACAATGGCTACCTCCCCGCCACTACCTTCTGATCTCTCTCTCTCTGGCTATTAAATGTCTGGGGGGGGGGGGGCAAGGAAGAGAGACTGGGCGGGACTGAGAGGAGGAGTTAGAAAAGTACTACTGATCGAGCAAAGTTTTGAGGGAAGGGCAGAACAAGATACAGGGAGGAGGAGGAGAGCAATGTTGAGAAAGAGACACAGGGTGTGGAGGACGAGAGATGGGAGAGAGGAAACGGACACAGGGCAAGAGGGAAAAGATGCACGTTATCAAGGGCATTTTTAAACAGAAAGTAACACGCGCTTCTGCTGGCGGCTTCTCTTCCTCCCTGGTGCCAGCAGAAGGAAGTGTCACGCCCGGGAGCTGTGCCCAGCGGCAGCCAGGTCCGAGCCCGGACGGCGCCAGGGACAAGGAGGAGCCCGAGGGCCCGCAGCACTGGGGTCGCCGCGACGGGCCGCAGGGCGGGCTGTGCCCGGCCGCGGCCCCACCAAGGTGTCACCGGGACGGCCGGACACGGAGCCGCGCTGCGGGGAGCGCCTCGCCCAGCCGGCGGCGCTATCGGGGTGGGGTGGGGGCGCAGTACCGGGACAGCGACGGCAGGGAACAGGGCGGCCGGGGTGCGGGAGCGGGACCCGACCCACCTCCGCCTCAGCACGAGCACCGCCTTGAAGACCTCGTCCCGCTTGAGCACGGCGCAGTCCCCCTCGCGGATGCGCAGCCCTGGCTTCGCGCTCTCTTCCATGGCCCCGCGCGCGCGCGCACACCCCCCCCAACCACTCAGCCGTTGCCGGTTCCGTTTGCCGTCTGCCTGGGGGGGGGGGCCCTCGCGCCACTTCCGGTAAGGACCCGCACTGCGCACGCGCTGCGAACTCAGACCTAAGTTCTCATTGGTGGCGGCCGGATGCGCAGGCGCAGAGTTGTTTCTCTCTGCGGGGGGGGGGGGAAGGGAACATCACGTGACAGGCAGCTCACTAGGCCTTGGCCGAATAGACCACCTTTGACCAGTGACAGAGGGCGGGGAGTCCCTGACTGTAACCATGGCAACGTGGTGGGGCGGGGCATCGACCCTATGACTGGTGTTACTACCGGAAGCGGAAATAACACAAGGTTGGCGCCAAAGTAGAACGGCTAAGGCGTATCAATGGGTCTGGCCTGGCACAGCGGGCGCTACGGTGAGCTCTGGGCCGCTACGTGTCCTTCGCCTGACGCGGGGGCGCTGTGGACGGGGTTCCGCGTGGGACACGCGCGTTACTCCGCCAGCAGCGCCTGCCGGCCTGTGGCACCCGCCGCGGCGCCCCCACCGCGTTGGGGCTGGGAGCAGCCCGCCCGCGCCAGGCCTCTGCTTGGTGCCCGCTTGGCGGCTAGCGCCCGGCCTGAATGCTGGGATCTTACTGATCAGATCTGGCGCGGCTCTGGCCTTTGGGGGGTTGGTTCGGAGCCTTGGGGCCGCACTCGGGCTCCTTTCTTCCTGGGCAAAGATGGGGGCTAGCCTCGGGTGCTAACAGGCCTGGCCTGCACCTAAATCTAGCTACCTTGCTGGGAGCCGTGAAAAAGCCTGTGCCCTGAGCACTGTGATCAGTCCCACCTCACCCCCTTGTGTGGACACAGCTGGGGCGGATGATTCTTCCCTTGACCCAGCAACTGCCAGAGAGGTGAGTTATCTTTATTGCCGGAAGAAAACTGTTCCATCCATCCAGCAAGCACCTGTGTTACCGTGGTTCAGCTGGCCTTACCCTTACACTGATAAACCCGGAAACTCTCACCTGATCATTATCCTCCAGGCTAAACTGAGAGTTGGCCATGCTGCAGATGGGAGGCAACAAGGGGTCGTGGTTTGTGCAATTAAATAGACTTATTTTATTTGCAGGTGTAACAAAGCATCTGGGTAAATATTCTTAGGGATTAAAGGAGAAGTAGTGACGAGGCATCTACAAGTAATGGCCGTGTGATAAGAAAACCGGTTAGTAAATGTTCCTGTATGACAACTTTCCTGTCCATGGTAAATGAACACTTCTTTCCTTATCTCAATTCTCATTTTAAGAGCATCTGGTCACAGGATTTAGGAACGTGAATTTATCTGTCCATGTGGTTTACCAGAACAAAGATGCCTAGCCTTTGTCTTCTGTTTAGGTTAGGATAACAGGATCTTCTGACTTTAGATCAGTGTTTCTTAAAGTGTAGGATGGGTCACGACAGATTTGTTCAGAATGGAAGCGAGCAGACCGGTTTCTAAATTGTTTTCCAGAGTTCCAGTTTTCATTTAAAAAAAAAAGAAGCCACTTTCTAGCTGTTGTGGTCACAAAGAAAACTTTCAAAACATGAAGCAAATGTAATTATCTGATACATCTGCCTGAGTTTGCAGAGAGCCTGAAAAAAGCACTGAGGGGTGAATTGTCCCATGCATTTCAATGGGTGCTACCTTAGATGTCAATGTTGTTATCTATTTACTGCTCATCAAAGCATATAAGAATGGAGAAAAAATATTTTATTAGGAAAATATATAGCAGTGTTTCCCTGTGTCTGCATGGTGTGTGCACAGGACTAGCTGGAAGGGTACTGAAGATGTATCAATTAAGATGTGTTGACTTTTAGCAGCACATGACAGGAACAGTTAATTTCATTTTTCTGAAGTGGGGCTCAGCTTTCAAAAGTTTGAGAAACGCTGCCTTAGATTCAGCTCTTTGTCCCCCAAACCTATCTGCATAAGAGAGAGGCACCTACATGATCCATATCTTCATGGTATCTGAGAACCTAGATAAATTCCAACTCTAGTTGAAATCACTAAAGAGTATAAATGAGAAAAAATACATTCTGCACTTGCAATCTTTATTTGTCATGAGGAGGCTGGGCAGCCAGCCAATGTTTTATAGAATTTGATGGAGTTAACCTCACACCCAATGTGAGTATGTAGCCAATTGTACTTCCATCACCTGTTGTTTTGAGAAGGGAGGATCCTGAACTCATTCCACATATGGCTGGTCCTCTCTCTTTTTTTAAAAAATAAATGACAATATACTAATAACTCTTGGTTAAATTGTTCTAATCATCATAAATTATTACTATAAATCTTCCTTGACAGTATTATCCTATCAGTTTAATCCAATTTCCAGATTCAGTCACATGGTAACATGAGTAACGAATTAAGAGGTAAAGGGTCTGGACGAGGAAGAGGTGGCTTTCAAGGCTGGAGAGGAAGATGGCGAGGAAGAGGAGATGGAGGAAGAGACTGGAAAAGAAACACTGGAAAGTCTGAGTCTGGTAAATTGGTTCTACATAACAGATTATCATTAATCTCTGATGCTAGAATCCAATCATAGAGCATTTTAAAGCAGCAGTGCGTGTTTACCTGCTCTTGTGTGCAAAAGCTGCAGCTGTTTGCTTACCAGTGCTCTAAACTGCAACTGTCGAAGTTTGAGATGCTACTGTACTTACACTGCTTTAACCAATCTTATTTTCATACTTTTCAGCACAACCTCGATTAATTCAGTCCACACTGGACCAGATTACTCCGTATAAAGGCTGGAAGCTTTATTTCTCTGAAGGTATATTAAATAATTTAGAATAAATATTTTACCTCCCATTTCCTCCTAGATTTGTGTATTATAGGAGGGAAAATAGATTAGAGGGTTGAAGAAATGAGTGACATTACAGTTCATTCTTAGACCCTTTTTAATACTTTTTTTTTAAGGTGCAGTAAAGGAAGATGGTAATTTAAAAATGTAAATAATTTGGTCCCCTAAACATGGAGGGAGACATGAGCAAATCCTCCTTTTTTCTGCCCTTTTTTTGCAATCTTAGCCTTTGACTATCTGAAGTTCTAATTAATCTTAAGTAGCTTTGTGATTTCCATCTAAGCCAGTGATTCTGGGTCTTGGTTGCACTCCACGATCCTTTGAGTTGGCTGCTGTGACAACAGCTTTGAAATACCACGATAGCTAATGGAGAAGATCCAGGAGTGTATACGGATCCTGAAAGACTTGCATACTCTCACGCAAGAACTCTATCTGCAAATTAGATGGACTGTTGGCCAGTATTGCCAGGGGATAAGTGTTATCTACTGCTCATAGTCCCCCTATCCAAACAAATGCAAATGAACAACTTGCAATCTCTGTGTGAGCCAAGGCTTGGAAATGAGTGCTGTACAACGTAAAATGCGCTCCATCTTCATCCAACCTATGTTAAACCAAAGCCAAAATATTGAACAAATTCTGATGCCCAACAATAGGATTGCAGTTCACAAATCATAGTAAATCTGCGGTCTGCTGGAGATGCAATTACTTACTGTAATGCCTCACCATCAGCCTTCTGTTGGTCGTGCTTCATGATAGTCCCCCACATGGACAACCATCTGCACCCCACAACTGAGAAGCATTAAAATACCCCTTCCATTAAATTTTACTTCCTTTGCTTTGAGGATTGATCCCACATCATCCTAGCTCATAGTTCTTAACTTAGAAGAACAGGAGTATTACTGAGACATTCCCCAATCTTGGCACACAAACATAATGGGGAAAATATCACCCTTTCTAGGAAAGGCAACCTGAACCTATTCTACCAGTCCTGTGAAATGCTGCAAAACATCATCATGATGGCATAAGACCTGCTATGACCATATCTTATTATAGGTTCACGTTTTACAAGTTGGTACAGTTGGCATCCCTTCCCCACCTAACTTTCCTTTCTCTTCCTTTCTTTTCTGTCTCATTAACTCTAATTGTATTGTGATAAACTCAAGAAATTATTGTATCCAGTCCTCTGAAGGAAGGTGGCTGTGCTTGAGAGAAAGGTGCAAAAACCATGGAGGGTAAAGTGTGTGTGGAAGAAACCTCATAAAAGGATTATTTAAATAAATACCCTTATTGATTTTTTTAAAAAAAATCAATGTCTTTAATGGATGAATTGGTTTCTATAATAAATTCTTCTAATTACAAATAAAGCATATGGTGTATTGATGTAGATATTTATCTTTGGGTTAATTACTAATGCGAAGTGTATCTGATTAGCGTTTGATGACAGCTCTCCTTTTGTCCAGAAGATTCAAGCATTTGAAAAGTTTTTTACACGTCACATTGAACTTTATGATAAGGTAAGACACCCACAACTGTTGCTACAATAGCATAATAGATCTGTATATATTTTCTTGGTCTATATTTCAACTACAATATCTCAAGAATAATATTAATCAAAACCTTTTGTTTTATCTCCGTGAAATGTGTTCTATAACTTGAAATGTTTTGTAGGATGAAATAGAAAGAAAAGGGAGTATTCTTGTGGATTACAAAGAGCTGATACAAGATAAAGAGTTAATTGAATTGATACCAAGTATATCTACTGATATAAGGGATATGCCTCAGAAAATATTGGACTGCATGGGTTTGGCAATACATCAGGTAAATATGGACTTCAAATAGATGTTAAGTAGTAGGATGTTTTTGTGTAATTATGGGTTGTACTTTAAGTTTTAATCCACATTTATACAGAAGACCAGTGCTCACTGTTAGAAGGGTTTTTAACCAGAAACAAACGTATAATTATTACAACTACGAAAGTTTCAATTGGTGTCTTTAAACTCTTTATTAAATTTAGAAATAGTGACTTTTTAAATAATTAGTTTATTCTTAAAGGTTGGTAGTTCTGAAGTGTGCGGCTTTCAAAAGATGATGTGAACCCCAAGTAAATTTTGCAGGATTGAGGCCTTCATTTTTAAAGATTAAACAGTTTAATTTAATGCATCAAGTTTCCTGGGCCAAAAATTTTACCTAATTTACAATTGTTATGAGTAGCAGTAGAAGAAGTAAGTCCTCCAAATGTTAAATATGTAGGTTTTTTGACTTATAACAATCTACTGCTTCACTGAAAAACAAGCAAACAAAAAACCGTCTTCCTCTCTCCATCATTTTTGTGCGTCTTACAAAATCATATCTTGATAATACTTCGGGTTTAGTGAGCTATACCTCATAATTTTTTTTATTCCCATTTTTTAAAATGGGACACGGAGTCACAGATGTTTAAGTACTTGCTCAAAGTCACACAGGAAGCTCATAGGAAAACGGTGAATAGACCCTAGATCTCCTGGCTCTCAGTCCTTTGCTTTAAAAAGGCTAGCCACCTTACGCTGGTTCTGCAGTAGCAGCAAATATACTCACAGATCTGCTGAGATTAATGGTATCCGTACATGCACATAGTTTAGAATTCGAGGTTACTCTGTGCAGTAGCCAAGAAAAAAAGATATCAAGTATTTTCAGAGGTGAAATATAAGTATTTGTTAATATTGTAACAGTGAGCCTATCGTCCTCAGGCCTGTAAGATATTCAGCTTAGCTAAACAAGGCCTGAGGCCTGAAACCGGTTGGCATGATTAGTTGACCGGAAGGTAGATAACCGTGTACTAGTAAAGTGTAAGATTACAGTGAAAGATGTGTTAAGTGCTGATGTTCTGGAAACTATGCAGCAATAGACTGAAAATATGCTGCAATGTGCCATTTAATACTTCAAGATGCCAGATAGTAACATTTTGCAGGATTCTGTTATAACCTCAAGTTGCTGTGATATCCCATTGGCATAGATGTTAAGGAGAAAAAGGGGAGCTAAAGGCATAGCAAATGAGAAATGGAACACCCCTAAATTAGTGGGGTGTGAAAGTATGGATAAGGAGAAGGGAGCTGGAACCTATATGCATATGTATGAATCTCAGCAGGCATAAGCATAACTCAGAATGAAGAGGTGTTGCCTTGCCTGTGTGCTGGGAGTAGATGCATTGGGTGATGCCAAGATGACAGCCACAGGGGATTATCACGACGACGACGATGAGGAGGAGGAAGATGATGATTGGCACTCTAGGATCTCCCAGTGGGAGATGTGAGCAATGTAAATCTTAGGGCTAAACACTTTTGCGCTATCTACTATCATATTTCAGTGTTATGGGATTGTTTATCTGCTTAGTGGATTTGTTAATGAAGGGACTTGTGACAAATTGGAATGATTTATCATGTGGTTATAGGGTCTCTTATTTTAGTGATGCGGATAATATTCCTGATGCTGTAGTCCTCAGGAGACCAAACCTTTTTTGATGACTGCAGTCAGAGATTAATCAAACAATCGCCAATCCATTGATAAGGCTACAATGCGTTACTTTTTTTTTTTTATTAAAAACAAAGATGTTAATTTAAGATCCATGTGAAATATGAAAGGAAAATCTGTGGTTGTCAAATGGAAAAGCGCAAAAGCAGTAAAATAATCCCATTGGTTGGGCTTAATAGTCAATGAGACCTTCTGCAGAGTTGTGTAGAGGTTTAAAACTGCAGGATAAGGTAGCAAAACTCAACTGCAAATGAACTATCAGGCCACACCCAGGGAGGAGAGCAGCATGTTAAAGGAGAACACCGTAAAAACTCCCACTTCAACAAATACTATTACCCGTTCCTTGAAGCTGGTTCTTCTGAGCCTGTGTTTATTTTTTCTTGTCTATCTAGGTATTAACTAAGGACCTGGAAAGGTATGCAGCTGAACTTCAGGAACAAGAAGGATTACCAATTGATGAAGAACCTATAATAAATGTGCCACATATTCATGCAAGGTAAAGGATGTTCTGTGTTCATTTGAAAGATTTATTTGCCCAGAGAAAGTAAGAAACTCTCATGGAAAATTGCCATTAAATGTTGGTCCTTTCTGTGCTGCAAGACTGAAATATGTGTTAAACCGTGGCTGGGGTTTACTGTGTTATTACAGGGTCCCCATATATGGTAGTTTCTATAGAGTAAATGGAACCTAAGAGTGTTTGCTATGTATGTGTGTGTATGCTATGTATTCTCTTTATAGTTTGGGAATTCTGAACATTAGAATTTGACTGGGCAGCCTTCACTTCCTCTTAGGGTAATAGGAGTTAATGGTTGTGTCATGTATTCTGGGGAGAGGTTAGATTTGCAATAAAACATTAGATTTGTCTTCTGTTGATAAAACCTTTCCTCTGGCTGTATCTCTTTTTGTGTTTAGTACATACATGCATATTTGATAACAAGATTTTTTGTTCTTTAAAGGTAATGAGTTTTAAAGTTGTGTGGTAACCTTTTTATGTAGGGTGTACAACTATGACCCGTTGACTCAACTGAAGAATGTTCGGGCTAATTGTTATGGGAAGTATGTTGCCCTGCGTGGCACTGTCGTGCGTGTCAGCAACATTAAGCCTCTATGCACCAAGATGGCCTTTATATGCAGCACATGTGGGTATATTCAGAGTTTTCCTCTGCCTGATGGAAAATATTCCCTTCCCACAAAGGTAATTTAAAATACTTTTATCTTAAAATCTTCCTCCCCTTTGCTATCTCCTGTATTTGGAAACTGTCAACACGTGTGGTGTTTAGATTTTAAAAAGTAGTTTATAGGATTTAAAGAGGGATGAAATGGATTTAATACTTCAGCAAAGTTAGAATAAGTTACTGACCCACAAAAATCACTGTATATCCCAATGTTACTGTAAGTCTTCATCATATGAGGTAGGTATTTAAAAAAAAGTTTCCTTGATTTTTGGGTACCACTAAAATGGAAAACCAAAAGTATAGAAACTTCCACAAATTTAAAAGAATTCCTCTCTTCTCCTCTCCCTGAACCCATTCCCACCCCATTTTAGAAAGGGCTAGTCAGTGTTCTGACTGTATTGGGCAATTTTATCTAGGACTGCAGCTGGCTGGAAAATGTAAATCCCTTCCTGTGAAAAATTTGAAATGTTTCATGGGGGGAAGGTTTGTCCCAAATTGGGATGAAAAGTAAATATTGAAATATTTTTGCGGAAATGAAATTTTTCTGGAAAATCCCTTTCAGGACTACCAAATAGATTTTTTTCACTTTGCTGGCTGCCCACCACAGGCTTTTTGGCTGGCTGGCGAGCTGCCCAGGAGGCAGCCCAGGAGCTGGCCAGCTGCAGAGCCTGAGGAGCCCATGGGTGTGTCTACACTGCAAAACAAAAAACCAAACACCTGCGGCAGTGATTCTCAGAGCCCGGGTCTACAGACTTGGGCTCACAGAACTTGTACTGTGGTGCTAAAAATAGCCAGGTAGACAGTCATGCTTGGGCTGGAGCTCAGCCTCTGAAGCCCAGGGAGGAGTGGTGGGTTTCAGAGCCTGAGCTCCAGCCTGAGCCAGAATGTCTACATAGCTATTTTGAGCGCCACAATGCCAACCTGAGTCTGCAGACCTGAGCTCTAAGATTTGCTGCTGTGAGGTTTTGTTGTTTTTGGTTTTGTTTTGGCTGTGAAGACATACCACATTCACCAGCTCCATGAGGTGTCTGCCAGGCTGTCAAGGAACTAAGGAGCAGCGGGCGGGCAGGTTTCCAGGAAACCAGGCACTTGGTTTCTGACTAAAGTTTTGATGGAACCAACATGTTTGCATAGAACATTTTGATTTTGCTGAATCAGCATTTTCCAACAGAAAACTTTTGACCAGCTCTCTCCGGGATTTTGTATTTCAGTTTTGTTGTTCTTCCTACCTTGATCTAAGACCCCACAAGACATATATACAAAATAATAATGAGGTAACTGTCTAGTAGTATTATTATGTGACCAAGTGCAAAGTTTTCTCCTCTGAAGGGACCTGAAAATAAAAATAACAGACACAAAAGATGCAGTATTAACATTGTGGTTTTTTTTCTAGTGCCTAGGAGTTAAGATCGGTTCTGGTCTGGTTCTGTTCAATATCTTCATCAATGATTTAAATAATGGCATAGAGAGTACACTTATAAAGCTTGTGGATGATACCAAGCTGGGAGGGGTTGCAAGTGCTCTGGAGGATAGGATTAGAATTCAAAATGATCTGGACAAACTGGAGAAATGATCTGAAGTAAATAGGATGAAATTCAATAAGGACAAATGCAAAGTACTCCCTTTAGGAAGGAACAATCAGTTGCACACATACAAAATGGGAAATGACTGCCCAGGAAGGAGTATTGCGGAAAGGGATCTGGGGGGCATAGTGGACGACAAGCTAAATATGAGTGAACAGCGTAACGCTGTTGCAAAAAAAGCAAACATCATTCTGGGATGTATTAGCCGGAGTGTTGTAAGCAAGACACAAGAAGTAATTCTTCTGCTCCACTCCGCGCTGATTAGGCCTCATTTGGAGTATTGTGTCCCCAGTTCTGTGCGCCACATTTCAGGAAAGAGGTGGACAAATTGGAGAGAGTCCAGAGAAGAGCAACAAAAATGATTAAAGGTCTAGAAAACATGAGCTATGAGGGAAGATTGAAAAAATTGGGTTTGTTTAGTCTGGAGAAGAGAAGACTGAGAAGGGACACAATGATAACATTTCAAGTATATAAAAGGTTGTTACAAAGAGGAGGGAGGAAAAATTGTTCTTCTTAACTTCTGAGGATAGGACAAGAAGCAATGGGCTTACATTGCAGCAAGGGCGGTTTAGGTTGGACATTAGGAAAAACTTCCTTACTGTCGGGGTGGTTAAGCACTGGAATAAATTGCCTAGGGAGGTTGTAGAATCTCCATCATTGGGGATTTTTAAGAGCAAGTTGGACAAACACCTGTCAGGGATAATAATACTTGGTCTAGATAATACTTAGTCCTGCCTTGAGTGCAGGGGACTGGACTAGATGACCTCTCGAGGTCCTTTCCAGTTCTATGATTCATGATTCTAACCCTGATCTATACCCATTAAAGTTGTATCTGAAATGAAGGAGAAACGTGGAAAAAAGAGGATGGGGGGAATTCTAATGCTAGGTGTTTAAACGACTATGTGACAGTCTTCCGTTAATTATACCCATGCCAGTTGTTATCCCTAATCTAAGCTTAACTGAAGGTTTTCTTTTTATATGCTACTAATGAGCTGCACACAGAGTACTGTTGTTTTTCAAAATCAAATAAGGCACCTTAAACTATTGTAATAAAGAGAATAATTTTCTTTATCAATCCTGATCACGAATTAATACTGTTACAGTGTCCTCTGCCTGAGTGCCATGGACGATCGTTCGCCGCAGATAGAAGCTCTCCTTTAACAATTACGGTGGACTGGCAGTCTATTAAGTAAGCAACTTTAAAGTGTCTGATCCTTTCACAAACAAATTTAGTTTAACAGATTTGAAAGGATATCACATTACTAAAGCAAATGTGCGTTTTTATTCATATTATCCATTGTGTAAAAACAAGCACTGATCAAAAGAATATGCTACAAAATAATTGTTTCACCAAAGCACTATTCCATATTATATATTGTCCCTACTCAGTATAATAAGTTCATTGAAATTCTTCTTATCTTGACTATGGCTTCACTGTGAACTGTTTCAGGTCATACTATGAACATGATTGCATCCATTCTATAAATGTGATCACATTCATTATAAAGTACCTTCTGTAATGAATGAGTTGTAAGGAAAACATCACAGTGGTTGGCTAGCAGGGTGCTGTTACATGACACCTGTCAACTGAGAAAGTTGAATGAGTTGTATTGAATTTTAGTGTCAAAATCTTGGTTTAAAGTTGTATTGAAAAAACACAAGCTAACCTGAACAGGAATAAAGTACAGATATTTAAATTGTTTCCCTATTTTTCTGCTCTCTACATCAATCAAGTAAATAGCTCACAATTTAAGGTATATCTGTGGCAGGGATTGGCTTTGTCTATTTGTACAAGAATAGAAAAAATTGGGCCCTTAGGTATTACTGCAGTAGAAATAAATAATATAAATGTCAAGTGTTCCTTCTAGTCTAAACTAATCAAAACTATTTCTGAAATTGATTTTTTACAATTTGTTTTAGAACAGATGTAAAGTTAAGTAGCACAGTATTTGGAAAAGCTCTTCAGCCCTATTCCAGCAAGGCTGAATTTTTGCATTTGTGGGTTGACTTCAGTGGGGACTACTCAGAGGGTGAAATCCTAGCCTCATTGAAGTGAATGGGAGTTTTACTATTGACTTCACAGGGGCCAGGATTTCTCTGTGTGTGTGTGTGTAAAATTAAGTGTGTGTGTGTGTGTGTATATATATATATATATTGCAGAATTGGTGTCCTAATTTGTTTGCATTGTGGGTTTGTGGCTCTTTTGGTACAGTACCTCCATTGTTAGACAACTTCTGTAGTAATCTGACAGGTGGATGTTATCAGGGGGACTGAGTAACTGGATATCCTGTGCCTTCCTAATATCCGTATAGTGTCTCAGAAGTCATATTTTATACTTGCCGTAACCCTGCCTTCTTTTAAAGTAACACATTTTAAAAGAATGTAACCTGTTTATAGTAAACTACAAAAACTACAGCAATGTTAAGGGTCTGACTTAGACCTATGAAATAAAACAAAAAATTTTATTATTTTACTACTATAAAAATAGACTGTGAAAATGTCACCTTGTTGCTCAGCAACAGATCTGCTCCCTATGTATAATCAGTCCTACCTGTTCACTTCGGTGACTAAAATAAATTCTTCCTTGTTCAGGCTCTCTATTCTTATGCTTTACCTCTGCTGTGAAGTTGAAAAGATAGGATCAGACCTGTCAATCACCAGGCAAGGTGCTATGTCTCTCCTTCAGGAACACAACACAACTGACAGTACAGACTGCCTCCTAATAGTAGCCAGAGGTGGTTCCCAGATCTCCTGCTTTACCTGAAATACAGAGTATAGGAAATGCTTCAAAAGATTAAAATTTGGTTCCAAAATGACCCTTCTGCTTGTCTCGGCTGGTAATCTTTGTGGGCTCTTTTTCAGGGCACAGGAAGTTTGCTCCACTTTTTTCCAGGAGCTGGTCTCTTCCCCATCCCAAGCAAGAAAGTCTCACATGCCGCTCCTCTGCAGCCTTTGCTCTAGGGAGCCACTTTTTGCTTGCCTGCTCTGGCTTCCAGCCTCAGCCATACTGCTGGGACTGATAGGTGCATTTCCTATTAGTATGCAGCACCTGTGTTCTGGGATGCAGTACTCTTTCACAAGCTAGTGTGCTCCAAACCTACTTGTGAAAGGGGGCTATCTCCTATGCAGTTGCTGAGCCTGAAAGCAGACTCGAAAGGTATGTCTACACAGCAAATAAAAACCTGCAGCTGGCCTGTGCTATTTGACTCTGGCTCGTGGGGTTGGGCTGGGGGGCTGTTTCATTGCTGTGTAGACTTCTGGGCTTGAGTTGGAACCTGAGCTCTGGGACCTTCCCACCTCTCAGGAAAAGTGCAACTGTGCTGGTGCATCTGCAGAGGGTGATAGCAACTACTGTAAGGCTTAGGGGGTGTTATGCCCTCAAGGTTTACCCAGCCATTCTGTGACTTTACTGCTGCCCTCCTGAAGGAGTAAGGGGTTGGGAGCAAGTCATAATTAAGACTTATGGATTGGGGGATGGAGGAGCAATGACATATAAAAATTGCTTTTCTCCCCTCTGTTCTCCCCCAAAAGCTGAAATTAGGCGGAGCTGGCTCCTGCATTTAGAAGGATGTGTATTTAATTTTGAAGGTTATAAAATGAATATTCCACATGATAGATAAAGACTGGGGGAAAAGAATATTTAAAGGATGGATATATATATTTATAAATAAATGTAAACATATTTAGAAGGGAAAGAAAATTCACTGAAGCAAGTAGAAAAGGAGGACTTGTGGCACCTTAGAGACTAACCAATTTATTTGAGCATAAGCTTTCGTGAGCTACAGCTCACTTCATCGGATGCATACTGTGGAAAATACAGAAGATCCACAGTATGCATCCGATGAAGTGAGCTGTAGCTCACGAAAGCTTATGCTCAAATATATTGGTTAGTCTCTAAGGTGCCACAAGTCCTCCTTTTCTTTTTGTGAATACAGACTAACACGGCTGTTACTCTGAAAACTGAAGCAAGTGTAACTCATTTCTATGTTGGAAAGTATAGAAGAGCTACAGTAGCCTACAGTGCAAATTATCATTTATTATTTGTATTTTGGTAGCATGTGGAGGCTGCAATCAGGAAAAACATCAGGGTTGTCCACATAAAGCTGTGATGGTAGGAAAACCAACATGGCTGTTTTGTAACCCAAGATTATACTTGACTACTACCGTAAAACTGGCAAAATTCATAAAACTATAACCCTGATTTCTCTCTCTGATAATCACCTCCAAAATTCTCCCTTTAGGATGATGTTTGCTTTGTCGTCACTCTAATATGGACTTTTTTTGAACACTTGAGCCAATTGCTGTAAACCCTTTTTTAAGTTAGAGGATGAAAATAAAACACAATATTAGTGTCATCAGCATTTCCCTACTCACCTCATGCAGATTACTGAAAACTGAAAACATTTTTACAGTTTGAATTTACATGTAATTGGACCTCACTGAGTTGTAGAATTGACAGTTTTAATCTAGAGTTCATAAAGTTAGGGTTCTTTGGAAATATGCTTTGAAGTATTTGCAGAAGAAAAATTGAAGTACTTATTAAGTCTCTGGTCCTGGAAACACTTAAAACTTTTGGAATTTCCTGATTTTCTTTTAACAGCACTATTTCCAATGTTATCAGTCTGTCTTCTCCCTTCTCACCAAATCAAAAATGATTGCTTTGAAGCATAAATGTGAGGACTCTTATATAAGAACTTAAACAGAAACACTGCAGACTGGTCTTTGATATGCTGTTTGTATTTTAGGGTTCAGGAACTCATGTCAGATGATCAGCGAGAAGCAGGTCGAATTCCTCGCACAATAGAATGTGAGCTGATTCAGGATCTCGTAGACAGCTGTGTCCCAGGAGATATGGTCACGATCACAGGAATTGTTAAGGTGTCAAACACCGAAGAAGGTACAGTACATCTGGTTTGAATTTTTTCTTATCGCCTTCTGAATCTTGCACAATGCTAAACAAAAGCTTACTCTTTGTTCTCTAGTTATTGATTTTTCTCTCAAAGCCTAAAGTATCACTTATTCGTTGCATTTTTTTTTTTTTAGAAATAAGTAAAATGTATAGGGGAAAGCTGTTGAACAGATAAGGCTCTGTAGTGAAAAAGAGAGAGGACAAAATACGCAACTGGGAGGAGAGCAGTGTACACCTTAACATCCCCTGACCTTAACTGACTCTTGTGCAGTCGGCAGTGGGTATGTCTTGTAGCAGCACTCATGCTCTGTTAAGGGTGAGGAACTGTGTCTCAACTATCAGTACAGGCTTCTCATGTTCTAGAAAGTCAGTTGGATAGAAAGATCTTCTGTCCAGAGTAAAGCAAACAAGGTGTTCAGATGGATTCCATTTTCCAGATTTGTTTCTAGAATAGTCTTATTGAGGTTAGCCACATGACGCTTTTTATCTTTCATTTGAAGGGGGTGGTTATCAGGGTTATTTAAATAAATAAAAAATATTAAGGGACCTGTTATGGCTGCACATTCTTTCATGGCTTGCTTCTCTCTGCTTGAAAAAACCTTGCAAATGCTCTTAATTGAGAATGTTACAAAGAATTGTTATAATCAGTTGGTGAACCATGGTGCTTTATAACCGATCAGTAATTTTCTGTTAAAAATTAAACGCTATCTGTATCTTTAACATTTTTTCTATGTTTTCTGCTACAAGATTTTTATTTTAAAAAATTGTTTTAAGAATAAAATAGTGTATTTGTTTAATTTTATAGTAGATCAGGCTAAAGACACTTAGAATGTTCAGAGAGGCACAATGCTCTTTCTGTTTCCAAGGTTAAAATTTCGAATAGAATAAAATTGATCTTGCATTTCATTCAGGCCCTGATCCAGCGAATCACTTGAGTATGTGCTGAACTTTTAGTAAATTAAACAACATTCTTTTCCCTTTTATAAAGCTCTGAATCTCAATGTGTCACCAGAAGCTTTTTCTGGCTTTTTATCAGGCTTTGAGGAAGCAGCTGTTCAAAATAGTTTCCCCTAAATTATTCAAGGGATATATCTTCTAGTATTCAGGAACTGTGATCATGGGTTAGACCTTTTAATTTGCTATATGTTATCATTACTAATATGTCCCAAGTTTTAATTAGCACATGGATTTTAATATTTCTGAATTATTTTAATCACTACCTGTGCATAACTCCAATACTTAGATAAAAACATGGCTTCCTATTTTTGACCGTCTTTGTAATCTAACAGGAGCATCTAGAAACAAAAATGACAAATGTATGTTCCTGTTGTACATTGAGGCAAACTCCATCAGCAACGGTAAAGGACAAAAAGTAATGAATTCTGAAGATGGGACTAATCACCGAGTATGCATGGAGTTTTCACTTAAAGATCTTTATGCTGTTCAAGAGATTCAAGCTGAGGAAAATCTTTTCAAGCTAATTGTCAAGTATGTTGTGTCTCACACCTCTAGCAATTTAGATATAAAAGCACCACAGCTTTTCCCTTCTGGTACTTTCAAGTGTGTGGTTCATTATTTGCTATCCTACATCTTGATCCCTCTGAAGCAGTCAATCTGGGACAAGTAACTTAAATGAAGTACACCCTTGTGTACTTGTGCCTATATCCCTCTTTTAGTCCAAGGGTGGGAGGTGAAGTCAATCAAATATATTTGTAGTTTTAACTAGTTGTTGAACTTTCATTTGCCCCGGAATATAAATATTGTACTTCAAAAGAACACTGTTCTTAAAATAAGTGCATACACATGTTCACTCCTGTGGTATCTCTTTCCTTCTGCCTTTCTTCTTTCCCCTGTTTTTTAACTGCTACACTCTTTATTTTTAGATGTCTGAGACCATTGCCTCAGCAGCTTGCACATCTTGCATGGTTCTTTTCTATGCTCTGCCTATTGGAGCAGCACTGGGGGAGGGGACAGGAGAGCCAAGCTGCGGGCATGAAACAGACCATGCAGTACCACTGGAGGATTCCAGGATGCTGCAGCTAAACCTGTGGAATACAAGACCTCATTCATACTCCAGCACAGTTGAGCAATAGACTTATGATGATTAAAAGTAGTTCTGTTCCAGATATGAGTGGGTTCAGCAACCACGGTGTAACAGGTTCTTGTGTGTGTACAGATTTCAGTGGATTACTGCTTTCTATGATGACAAGCATGCTTAAGTGTCCAGAAATTTCAAGAACTTTGATAGAGCATTTAAAAAAAAAACCCAACAACCCTGGTTTTGCTGGGAATTAGACAAGAAAGTGAATTTCTATGGAACTTGTTGCAGTAGAGAAACTAGTTTTGTAATTGAGATGGGACAAATGGTGGTAAGAGATTTCTATTAATCACATACTAATGTCAGATGTCTTGGGTTTTTCAGCTCACTTTGTCCTACTATCTATGGCCATGAGGTAAGTAATTTTAGAACTTTGCTTTCATTCTAAATTCAAACTTCCATTACAAATTTGCCTCAGTAAACTTCCAAGACCTTTTAAAGGTTGGCGAGGTGGAAAAAATGAATTTCTTTTTTAAAAGTTTATTTTTGCATAAACTGTTTTCTTTTTCCTGTGTCAAAACACCCATAGAAACCCCCAAATGAGAAATAAGTAGTGCATTGGGTAATGGTGGGAGTTCAGTCCCTTGTAACTTTTTTTTTTTCTACAGGACACAATGTTTTTTTTTCTGTGTCTTAATTTACTATGAAGCAATTGTTAGTAATGGTAGCTGTTGTCTAATGCTGACTAGCATTTGTATGTACCATTATAGATTGTAAAGGCAGGTTTGGCACTGGCATTGTTTGGAGGATGCCAAAAATATGTGGATGACAAAAACAGAATTCCAGTGCGAGGAGACCCTCATCTTCTGGTGGTTGGAGATCCTGGATTAGGAAAGAGTCAAATGTTGCAAGTATGGGTTCATTTACTACTATTAAACTTAGCTAATGGAGAGAGAATGCATTTTTCCCTTTAACTCTAAACCTTTCTATTTAGTCTTTTGCTTACACACAACCATTCGTTCAGTGAGAGACTGTCCCTTTGTATATAATTTAGAAAGTCTCCCTTTAAAGTATATAATTTACTAAACCCCACGTTTTTGTCCCTAGTTGTTGTGAATTCTGACTAAAACGAACACTCACATTTTTCTCCTTTTGTCATACTCTCATTTAGACATTCACTGTTCAACATCAGTAGTTCTCCAGATAATTGCACAACCTTTCTGTTCTGTGATATGTATTTTATATTTATCTCGGAAGGGGTCTCATTTTATTTTCATTTGTCACAATGACATCGATAAGTGCGCAAGTGGTGACTTGAGTACAGCAGCCAGTATAACTCATGCAAATTGAATATCTGTCACTTCTATGGTATGCTTTTACGTAATGAATGAGGGCAAGGATGGTCCTGTGGTTGAGACACAGAACTGAGAGTTGGGAAGCCTGGATTTTATTCTTGGTTCTGCCTTTGATGCCCTATGTGACCTTGGGAGAATCACTTGAGAGGTTTTAAATGGCACAAACAACAGTTAGGCATCTAGCTCTCAGTGACCTCCAATATTAATTTAATTGAAAATCTCCCTCTTAATCTCTTTATGTCTCAGTTTCCACATCTGCAAATGGGGAATAAAATACGTAGTTTGCAACAATTATTTTATTGAGTTTGAGTACCCCCGTGGTAAAAAGGGCTTTGAGATATTTGGACAGAAGGTCCCATAGAATCACAAAGTATTATTGTTGGAGTTACTTTTTGAGGAATAGTCATATTCAGAACGCCCAGCCTATTGTGATAACAAGGTCATGGGCTATATCTGAGACCTTTTGGTAAATCTACTGACAGTATTTTTGAGTGACACACAGGTCCTAATGACATTGCTTCAGTGGTTATCTAAGAGGAGTTAGTCTGATTATTGCTACATTCATTTAGAATTCTCATATTTCTAAGGTGCTTTTGCAGATTTTTAAAATGTGCATTATTGATATCATTTCATGTTTTTCATAACATGTCACTGTCAGGAAATTGCGTTAAGATGGAAAAGCAGTAATTTTAAGTACTATTGCCAGGAAAAAGTCATTTTCTGTGGGACTGATAATATGCACTTAATTTACTTTCTAAAGTGTATGACCTCAGTTACTATCTGGCATAAATCTCTCATGAGAGAGAAGAATCATGATAGAAAAGCAGAATAAAAGGAAAACATTGTGTTGACCGAGAAATCCAGAAAACAGGTAGATAATGTGTGAATCTTTAAAATTAGAACATGTGAGTGATAGAGGTAGAATTCAAAGAAGGAACTAAAGGAGAGGTAATTATAACGGAATACATGTTTCTTTGCTCCCCTCTCCTGGTGTCCTTCTCCCTAAAAGCATCTTCTGTTGAGAGCAGTATCTTGTCACATGTACCTTATTCTATTAACAGTATTTGCAAATCACATTCTGATCAGTATGATTCTTATGTGCTCCTTTTCAGACTAAGTAGAGCTGAGTGAGCTCTACAGTAGTCTTTAAATATTTCACTAGCCGGCACAAAGTTTTATGTTTTAAAAAGTAGGGTTGCCAATTAATTGCAGTTAACTCACATGATTAACTAAAAAAAATGAATTGCAATTTAATTGCACAATTACATTTTTAATTGCACAATTAATTTTTACAATTGCATGATTAATTTTTACTATTGGCACAGCTGTGATGATGGTTTAGAATACCTAAGCCAAGTTTGCATAAATGGCTTTTAAATAAATATTTAAACTACTTGTTCCTGTTTCACCCTAAGAAGCAGTCCATTTGCACACAATGAAAGATTTGTTTTCTCTTTCTTTACTAAATACTTTGATGTCATTCACAAAAAGTTGGCCTGCAGCCATTCTGAGATATGACAAGATCACACTGCAAGGTTTGTCCAGATCAGAATTTTTGTGGAAAAGCTTCTAGGAAAAACCAAAGCTCAGTAGTAGTTGGTGCTGATGGTCCAATAGTCAACACTTTTCCCTTGGAATCAGTGCTGAACAAATATTGTTCTGGCATAATCTTCAGGAGCATTTTGTAGCTTTGTGCTCTTCTTTTTTTTTTTAAATAAAACAGCTGCTGGTCACTTGGCACTAAAGGTTCTTTGGAAAAGAGCAGTGGTGTTAACTGGAGTGCACTAGCCAAATTTAACTGGAGCCATTGCTTTGTCTGCCTTCCCACATGGAAAAGGAAACTTGGAGAAATGTTATGCTGTATTTTTTTTCACTTTTCTCAAACTTCTGTAGAGACCTAATGCTTCAAGGTTGAGACAGTATCTTAACTATTAGAGACCATGAGGAGACCTTGTTTGGGGGACAGATAATCCCACATCCCACTCTTACTTCTGGGAGCACTCCTTATACCTTCCTCCAAAGCATCTGGTGCTGGCTACAATTAGAGACTGGGTACTAGGCCAGACGGACCTCCAGTCTGGCAATTGCTATGTAATGTGGCTGCATGTCAGTGATGAATGCTGTATTTGGGTGGATTTTTTTAATATCTGCTTAAGTCTGCACTGCTTTGTTTTTGAAAAATAATATCAATATAAAATTCTTTCTAATATAGGTGATCTAATTAACCCTTACAGCACCTTAATCTAGTACATCCAAATCCATGTCATGTCACATTGTCTCAAGGTTTACGATAACCTAGCAGATAGTACTTTGACCCCAAGCATGCAACCAAAAATGCTTCCTACCTTCTGCAGTTCTGGATGTATCTCTCTAGGGGTACTCAGTTAATAACTATTATACTATTGACTCACGTTAAATTGAAAAGAGCAAAAAAGGTCAAACACATAAATTTTTTCCCATTTGTGGTATTTGTCTAGTATGAGTAAGTTACAACTCCACATACTATGGTTCTGTAACTTTTTTAAAAAGTGTGATTGTTTTCCACAGGCAGTTTGCAATATTGCTCCTCGCGGTGTGTATGTTTGTGGCAACACCACCACCACCTCTGGGTTGACTGTGACTCTGTCTAGAGATAGTACCTCTGGGGATTTTGCTTTGGAAGCTGGTGCTCTGGTGCTTGGAGATCAAGGTAACACACTAAACTGCAACTAAATTGAATGGACAAATGTTTTTAGCTAAACATTTCGCTCAGATTTTCCCTCAAACCAAATAATATTTGAAATGCTAGCACTGGGATATTGAGTCTAGGATTAACATATGTATGGTGCTACTACTAACTACAGATCTGAGGCTAACTTTCTTTTTTAAATAACTTTATTCTTAAGCATAGGATCTTAAGAAATTTGCGCAAATGTTCAAAGTGTGATTCCTATCCTAAAGGATGACCCAACACTCTCACAAGTCTTGGGAGACAGGCCAGTCCTTGCCTACAGACAGCCCCGCAACCTGAAGCAAATACTCACCAACAACCACATACCACACAACAGAACCACTAACCCAGGAACTTATCCTTGCAACAAAGCCCGTTGCCAATTGTGCCCACATATCTATTCAGGGGACACCATCACAGGGCCTAATAACATCAGCCACACTATCAGAGGCTCGTTCACCTGCACATCCACCAATGTGATATATGCCATTATGTGCCAGCAATGCCCCTCTGCCATGTACATTGGTCAAACTGGACAGTCTCTACGTAAAAGAATAAATGGACACAAATCAGATGTCAAGAATTATAACATTCATAAACCAGTCGGAGAACACTTCAATCTCTCTGGTCACGCAATCACAGACATGAAGGTCGCTATCTTAAAACAAAAAAAACTTCAAATCCAGACTCCAGCGAGAAACTGCTGAATTGGAATTCATTTGCAAATTGGATACTATTAATTTAGGCTTAAATAGAGACTGGGAGTGGCTAAGTCATTATGCAAGGTAGCCTGTTTCCTCTTGTTTCCCCCCCCCCCCCCAAGATGTTCTGGTTTAACTTGGATTTAAACTTGGAGAGTGGTCAGTTTGGATGAGCTATTACCAGCAGGAGAGTGAGTTTGTGTGTGTATGGGGGTGGGGGGGATGTGAGAGAACCTGGATTTATGCAGGAAATAGCCCGACTTGATTATGTAAAGAGTTGTCACTTTGGATGGGCTAGCACCAGCAGGAGAGTGAATTTGTGTGGGGGGGTGGAGGGTGAGAAAACCTGGATTTGTGCTGGAAATGGCCCACCTGATGATCACTTTAGATAAGCTATTACCAGCAGGACAGTGGGGTGGGAGGAGGTATTGTTTCATATTCTCTGTGTATATATAAAGTCTGCTGCAGTTTCCACGGTATGTATCTGATGAAGTGAGCTGTAGCTCACGAAAGCTCATGCTCAAATAAATTGGTTAGTCTCTAAGGTGCCACAAGTACTCCTTTTCTTTTTGCGAATACAGACTAACACGGCTGTTACTCTGAAACTTATTCTCTGCTGGTCTCCTCCAGCTTGGCTTCCTCCTACTGGGTCTTGGAAACCCTGATAGACTCCACTGGTCTTTGTGGACTTGGTCCCCCTTGGTGAGGATTGGGTGCGTAAAATTAGGCTTCTAAAATTTGCAGAAAGTCCTTTATTTAGGTGCTTAAGTGGCCAGATTTTCAAAATTTCTGCATGTCAGTTGACTTAAATGGGAACTGCTGGGCGCTTAGCACTTCTGAAAGACAGGCTCCTTAGTTAGGCGCCCCCGCCCCCCCCTTTTTTTTTTTTAACAAAGAATCTTGGCTCCAACTTTTTTAAATGAAAGCTTAGATTCTGGAGTGCAAGTTGGGAGTCATCAGAAAATTGTGCATGCCCAGACAGCTGTCGAGAGCCAGACCAGTTTGATCCCTGCCTCTAATACTTGCCCCTCCAGACTTACAAATCCACCAGTAGAGTCCCAGGGGCAGCATGGAAAGGAGGCAAGCCATGCTGACAGTGCTGAGGGGAACATTGCAATGAGTGGACTTTGGATTAGGCTCTAGGTGCAGTATTGGATCAGTGGCATATATTTGGACATTGACCTGTGTGTTTCCTGATACCTTTTATTCTATGTTAATTATGTTTCCAGGTATTTGTGGAATAGATGAATTTGATAAGATGGGAAGCCAACACCAAGCTTTGCTGGAAGCCATGGAACAGCAAAGTATCAGCCTTGCTAAGGCTGGCATTGTTTGCAGCTTGCCAGCTAGGACATCTATCATTGCTGCAGCAAATCCAGTTGGGGGACATTATAACAAAGCCAAAACGGTCTCTGAGAATTTAAAGTAAGCACTTTTTGAAATGTTAATTATGTGGCTTGCAAGAGGAAGTTGTTTTTTGTTTTGTTTTCTGTCAAGTCAGTTTGTGAATAATGGCACTTTAGTTTCCTGGAAGATGATGGTAGGTTTTATTATAATATTGCTTTCATTTCAGCTGTCAACACAGATTTATTTCTTGAGTCGTACTTGTGAAGCAGGATAATAGGTAAAGTTGCTCTAGAGTTCCATTGTGTCTGTTTTTATAAGCAATGTATTATTTTTGTCTAGAATGGGGAGTGCCTTATTGTCCAGGTTTGACTTGGTATTTATCCTGCTGGACACTCCGAATGAAGATCATGACCATTTGCTTTCTGAGCATGTGATGGCAATGCGAGCTGGAAAACGGGCAGTACACAGCAGCGCGGTAGTGACTCGCACCAACACACAGGATTCAAACACCTCCATCCTTGAAGCAGTCTCAGCTAAACCATTATCAGAAAAATTAAAGGTAGAATTTTCTCCTTCCATTTTATTTTGCTCATCTCCCCCGGTGTTGGATCTCAGCAGTTTCCCCTTCCACTTTCCATGTGGGGAACCAACTCCAGCCTTAAAGAGCCATGGGATGTCTATAGAAAGTCCCTATGCTCCACAGGTCCTGCCAATTGCCTGCACTAGCAGCTCTTGCAGGGTGGATGGTGGGAAAGTGGGGCAAGCCTAGTCCCCCGGAACCACCTTTACACCGTCCCACCCTGGTGAGGCTCAGATTTTGCTCAGTTTTTTTAAGTTTTACATTTTTTTGCTCTTGGGGATGGTGGTTCCTTCCTACATCTACCAATGCTACTTTGTGGATTTCCTCGCCTTCCTCCTCCGGTTTCTCCTTCCAGTTTCCACTCCCTCTGTTTTTCTCTTCTCCTTCTCCACCTGTCTACTCCCTGTCTTGTCCTACATTCTCCTCCCCCATTTCACCCCTGGTTTCTCTCCTAAATGAAAACAAGTGTAAGTGATTAACTTTCAAATAACCATATAATTTTGTTTACCCTGTTCTCACTTGTCCCACCTGCCTCCTTGTTTGGTTCTTCCCTGGTGTGTCTGTCTTTAGCCCTGATCCTGCAGTGAACACTGTGTGGGTGGGGACCTGTTGATGTCTGGGGCTCTGTGACCGGATTCCCAGGGGAGCCAGGTGAGCTCATTCAATTAGGGTGAGCTGCAAAGAATGGGGCAGACCCCAAAGCTGGTGTATATTCCAATACTTAGATTTACCAAGCCAGCACAAAACAGCTTCTTTATTACCTCACTGGTTACTCAGAAGTCAACAACACAGTTCCCTTAAAGTAACGCAGCCTCAGGCTTCCACCTAGACACCCAAGTCAGATATGATGAGGATTAATGAAAATCTTATTCATCATATAAAAAAAATCTACCAATCCCAAGGAATAGGACACATTACCTCTTAGGTTAATGAATGTTTCAGATCTTATCCAAATACACGCTTACAGCCAACTCTTATTAACTAAACTAAAATCTATTAAGAAAGAAAAGAGCGAGAGTATGGTTAAAAGGTCACTATACATACAGACATGAGTTCAATTCTTGAGGTTCAGATTCATAGCAGAGATGGTGAGCTTTGAAGTTGCAAAGAGTTCTTTTAGAATTTAGTCCATAGGTTATAGTCCAATGTCCAATATCTTATTCAGGGTGTTCCAGCTTCGGACTGGGATCTCAATCTTTATGGCTTAGCCTTCCCCTGTATGAAATCTCAAGCAGATCTGAGATTAAAAGGATTGGGACCCAAAGGTCTTGTATATACAATTCCAGATCTTCTTTGACAGGTTGAAGTCCTTAGTTGAACAACAGGCACTCATGTGAACTTTGAAGTGGACCCATTTCCTAAGCATAGCTGGTAATTATCCACACAGATTAACACAAGGCAATTGCCTGTCTTTCCACCATTTGCAGATGATTTGCTATACACTTCAAAGAGAGATGAATACAGCGATAGTCTGTTTACAAAAAGAAAAGGAGTACTTGTGGCACCTTAGAGACTAACCAATTTATTTGAGCATGAGCTTTCGTGAGCTACAGCTCACTTCATCAGATGTTTACCGTGGAAACTGCAGCAGACTTTATATACATACAGAGAATATGAAACAATACCTCCTCCCACCCCACTGTCCTGCTGGTAATAGCTTATCTAAAGTGATCAACAGGTGGGCCATTTCCAGCACAAATCCAGGTTTTCTCACCCTCCACCCCCCACACAAATTCACTCTCCTGCTGGTGCTAGCCCATCCAAAGTGACAGAAGCAGCTGTTCTATCTCGGGGCCTCTCCTTCTGCCCCTCCACCCCCACGAACATGATACAGTTCTGTGGTGACCTAGAATCCTATTTTCGACGTCTCCGTCTCAAGGAATATTTCCAAAATACCTCTGAACAACATACTAATCCACAGAGGTCTCCCTGCCAACACTACAGAAAGAGGGATTCTAGATGGACTCCTCCTGAAGGTCGAAACAGCAGACTGGACTTCTACATAGAGTGCTTCCGCCGACGTGCACGGGCTGAAATTGTGGAAAAGCAGCATCACTTGCCCCACAACCTCAGCCATGCGGAACGCAATGCCATCCACAGCCTCAGAAACAACTCTGACATCATAATCAAAAAGGCTGACAAAGGAGGTGCTGTTGTCATCATGAATAGGTCGGAATATGAACAAGAGGCTGCTCGGCAGCTCTCCAACACGAGTTTCTACAAGCCATTACCCTATGATCCCACTGAGAGTTACCAAAGCAACTACAGCATTTGCTCAAGAAACTTCCTGAAAAGCACAAGATCAAATCCGCACAGACACACCCCTGGAACCCCGACCTGGGATATTCTATCTACTACCCAAGATCCATAAACCTGGAAATCCTGGGCGCCCCATCATCTCAGCATTGGCACCCTGACAGCAGGATTGTCTGGCTATGTAGACTCCCTCCTCAGGCCCTACGCTACCAGCACTCCCAGCTACCTTCGAGACACCACTGACTTCCTGAGGAAACTTCAATCCATCGGTGATCTTCCTGATAACACCATCCTGGCTACTATGGATGTAGAAGCCCTCTACACCAACATTCCACACAAAGATGGACTACAAGCCGTCAAGAACACTATCCCCGATAATGTCACGGCTAACCTGGTGGCTGAACTTTGTGACTTTGTCCTTACCCATAACTATTTCACATTTGGGGACAATGTATACCTTCAGATCAGCGGCACTGCTATGGGTACCCGCATGGCCCCACAGTATGCCAACATTTTTATGGCTGATTTAGAACAACGCTTCCTCAGCTCTCGTCCCCTAAAGCCCCTACTCTACTTGCGCTATATTGATGACATCTTCATCATCTGGACCCATGGAAAAGAAGCCCTTGAGGAATTCCACCACGATTTCAACAATTTCCATCCCACCACCAACCTCAGCCTGGTCCAGTCCACACAAGAGATCCACTTCCTGGACACTACAGTGCTAATAAACAATGGCCACATAAACACCACCCTATACCGGAAACCTACTGACCGCTATTCCTACCTGCATGCCTCCAGCTTTCACCCTGACCACACCACACGATCCATCGTCTACAGCCAAGCTCTGCGATACAACCGCATTTGCTCCAACCCCTCAGACAGAGACAAACACCTACAAGATCTCTGTCAAGCTTTCTTACAACTACAATACCCACCTGCAGAAGTAAAGAAACAGATTGATAGAGCCAGAAGAGTTCCCAGAAGTTACCTACTACAGGACAGGCCTAACAAAGAAAATAACAGAACGCCACTAGCGGTCACCTTCAGCCCCCAACTAAAACCCCTCCAACGCATTATTAAGGATCTACAACCTATCCTAAAGGATGACCCAACACTCTCACAAGTCTTGGGAGACAGGCCAGTCCTTGCCTACAGACAGCCCCGCAACCTGAAGCAAATACTCACCAACAACCACATACCACACAACAGAACCACTAACCCAGGAACTTATCCTTGCAACAAAGCCCGTTGCCAATTGTGCCCACATATCTATTCAGGGGACACCATCACAGGGCCTAATAACATCAGCCACACTATCAGAGGCTCGTTCACCTGCACATCCACCAATGTGATATATGCCATCATGTGCCAGCAATGCCCCTCTGCCATGTACATTGGTCAAACTGGACAGTCTCTACGTAAAAGAATAAATGGACACAAATCAGATGTCAAGAATTATAACATTCATAAACCAGTTGGAGAACACTTCAATCTCTCTGGTCACGCAATCACAGACATGAAGGTCGCTATCTTAAAACAAAAAACTTCAAATCCAGACTCCAGCGAGAAACTGCTGAATTGGAGTTCATTTGCAAATTGGATACTATTAATTTAGGCTTAAATAGAGACTGGGAGTGGCTAAGTCATTATGCAAGGTAGCCTGTTTCTTCTTGTTTTTCCTACCCCCCCCCCCCCCCAGATGTTCTGGTTTAACTTGGATTTAAACTTGGAGAGTGGTCAGTTTAGATGAGCTATTACCAGCAGGAGGGTGAGTTTGTGTGTGTATGGGGGTGGGGGGATGTGAGAAAACCTTGATCTATGCAGGAAATAGCCCGACTTGATTATGCAAAGAGTTGTCACTTTGGATGGGCTAGCACCAGCAGGAGAGTGAATTTGTGTGGGGGTGGAGGGTGAGAAAACCTGGATTTGTGCTGGAAATGGCCACCTGTTGATCACTTTAGATAAGCTATTACCAGCAGGACAGTGGGGTGGGAGGAGGTATTGTTTCATATTCTCTGTATGTATATAAAGTCTGCTGCAGTTTCCACGGTAAACATCTGATGAAGTGAGCTGTAGCTCACGAAAGCTCATGCTCAAATAAATTGGTTAGTCTCTAGGTGCACAAGTACTCCTTTTCTTTTTGCGAATACAGACTAACACGGCTGTTCCTCTGAAACCAGTCTGTTTACAGTTCATTTAAATGTTAAGATGTTCTTTTAATCTCTGAATTAACAGAATACAGCATAGACAGGGACTGTTTGATTACATTGTTGACCACTACCAATATATATGTAAAAAGAAAAGGAGTACTTGTGGCACCTTAGAGACTAACCAATTTATTTGAGCATAAGCTTTCATGAGCTACAGTTCACTTCATCGGATGCATATATATGTAAGTACACAAAAACACAAACATTATCTCCCCATATGTTTTTAAGGGTTGAATTTGAGTCATTTATTCTGCAGGATGCTTAACCCTTTCTGGTCATGTGTCATATGGGCACAGAAGTCCACTGCCCACTGGGATTAATTGCAGGATCAGAACTCTTCAGGGACCGTGTCTTACTAGGTTTATACAACAACAAGAAAAATAGAGCTTGTTCTCTTAATTTTATGGCCCAAAAAAAAATAATATCTGCCAGATTCTAATCTTAAACCACACCAATGATTTGATTCAGTATAGTCACCTTTTCAGGTTCGTTCTCATTCATTGCGAAGAGTCTTTTTGAAAGAGGACTCTTGATATTGCCCAGTTGCATTTGGCACCGTCACTTTTCTTCAACGCAGACTAGAGGTTTGTTCTGTCCGGAAGTGACCAAACTATCATTTATTATGCACACCCAGTTGAGAACTGAGAATTGAGTTCATAGAAGAAAGACCAGTGTATAAAAAAAAACGCACTGAATACTGTAATCCTGTTGTAACTTAGAGTCCATGAACATGAGAGATGTGTTCGTAATTGGCTTAGGTCATGCCTGGAGAAAATTTTGATGCCATTCCACACCAGCTATTGAGGAAGTATGTGGGATATGCTCGGCAGTATGTCCACCCCAAGTTATCTCCAGAAGCTGCTCAGGTCCTCCAGGAATTCTATCTTGAGCTCCGGAAACAGAACCAAGGGGTGGACAGCGCACCTATCACCACAAGGCAACTGGAGTCGCTCATTCGGCTTACAGAGGTACGTTTCCAGAGTAATATTTTTTGCTTCTGGCACCCTAAGTATTCTTTTTAATATAGCTATTAACACTCCCAGGAACTTCTGACAGCTAACGTGACCATGTGTGTTTAGTGAGGAAAAGATCCACAGGGCCAGTTAGTGTGCAGCTGGCTAATGCTCTGTAAATTTACATCCCAGTTTGCTGCATATTGACTGTGTAAAGAAGCCCTTTGATATTAAGTTTCCAACCTCAGAAAAGGGGGGAGGAGAGATCAGACTCCACAAGGGAGTTGCAAGCAATTGACTTGTGGCTCCCAGCCTGCTTCTATTCCCTCTGTTTTGTGTTGATCAGAATTGCTGTAGATCCTTGTAACCACTTCACAGCACAAGGAGTGCCCATTCCTTATGCTGATTATTCCAGCTTCTCTTTTGAAATATCTGGATTCCAGGGTGCATTAGAGGAAACCAGAGGCTCAATGTGAGATTTTATAATTTGAAAAGTTGGGAGCCTTTGTTTTAGACGTATGTTGTCAGGCAAGGCCAATGAGGCAATAAGGTACACCCAGACAAAGTGTCTTAATTTTTTACACCCTTTATGCCATTCTGAAGGGGCTAAGTGGAGGACAGACATTTCAGCTTATTTGTCCCTCAAATCCATTAGTCTGTGCCTCATTACCTAATACAGTCTTTCAATACTGCACAGCTCCAGCAGGGTGAGTAAATTAAAGCAGCTTTTCCATCCCAAACTATGTCTAAGCCCATTGTAAAAGTAAAGGCAAATTGGGATGCTAGATGGGTATTCTGGTTCTTGCTTATGGACCAAAATAACATTAAACTAAATAACTGTCAAACTCGTAAGACTAAATCCTGATGACTCTTTAAATGGCTGGTTGCAAGAGGCGCATAAAACCCGAAGAGCTGTATAAGGAACTGTGGAGGGCTTCCCCAGCCTTTCCATGACAGAAAAATATCCCAGGCTGGGAACTTGCCCATCCTTCCCTAGATCCTATTCCCCTTTTCTCCCCCTGCTGTATCTGCCAACAGGGAGAGGAGCAGGATTCAGGGATATCCACCTGGCTTCTCAGAAGAATCTTCCTTGACCGTATAGAGTGGGACCTGTGTCTGCTCCTCCCATATGTTATCGCTATTGCCACGTATTTTAATGCTGTGTTCTAATAGCATTAGTCATACTTTTGTTGTTGCCCAGAGAATGGAGTATTAAAAAGAAAATCAACAATTTCCAGACCACAACCCACTAAGATAGTTTTGAAGGTAGCAGTGATGCTACTTATTGATAGGGCTTTATCCTGCAATTATTAGTCAAAAATTCCACTGAAGAATGTGACTATGTTTGAGTCCTGCAGGATCAGGTCCCAAGTATGTCCTCAGAACTTGACACAACCATTGTGACTGAATGATGGAGACTAAGCCTTTTTTATGTGGTGGCTACCACATAACTTCAGCTTAATTGTTAAATATGTTTTTTGTTTAAGGCACGATCAAGGCTGGAATTAAGGGAAAAATCAACCAAAGAAGATGCTAAGGATGTAATTGAAATAATGAAATACAGGTGATGTACAGTGTTAAAATCAGAACAAATATTGGTATTCATTTAAAAAAAATATGATTTTTCTTCTTTTCATGCAACCAAGAGAATGCTTAGATGGTATGGTTCAGACCATTGATATTTATATACAAACTCTATAGCCAAACTGTCCATCTTTGGGTTTGGCTGAATAGGGTGGCGATGTAGTAATGTACAACCCTGTTTTTATGTTAATTTTATCATGTTGGATCATGACCACTATAATTATAGACCACTCAAAGAATACAATCACACTGTAGTGTATGGAAGATTCAGTCCTTTTTGCCTTTTAGAAAAGATGCACCTCTAAGCGTCTTTCCACTTTCTCAGAGGCTGAATGCTTGCTGTGAACCAACAGACCCCCCAGTGAAGGCCTCTAAACTGCTAGCTTTATTCTTAGTGGGAGGAGTTGCACAATTTGTGAGCCCCTTTGGAGGCCTGAGACTTCAATGACTCATTCTTACATTTTTATATTTCAGACCAATAGCAAGACCCTGCCAAACCAATCCATTCATTTCTGCCTTTACCTCCTGTTGATTCTCATTTGGTTGTGTTTTTTTAGCATGCTAGGAACTTACTCTGATGAGTTTGGGAAACTGGACTTTGAGCGTTCACAGCATGGTTCTGGGATGAGCAATAGGTCACAAGCAAAGAGATTTGTTTCTGCCCTCAACGATATTGCAGAAAGAACCTACAACAATCTCTTTGCATTTCAACAGCTTCGGCAGATTGCAAAGGAGCTACAAATAAAAGTAAGTGGGGAAATCTAGATTCTTTTGAAAAACAGTTTAGGAATCATTAAAATTATCAGCTGAAAAATTAAATGAAGAAATTAAAATCAGAAACAGCAGACAAGTGCCATATCTCTCCATTAAACAGGGATGAGCAAAACCTATTGCTGATGTTCTGAGCTCTGTCGTGGAGACATTTCCATTGTAAAGTTTCTAATGTCACTAGCCTTGCTAACTACACCTCTTGCATCAACAAGCACTAACTTTGCTGCTATTATTAAGGTTTGTCTCTGACGTTTTTTGCCAAGGACAAGTTGGTCCCAGAATGTTTTGCTTCTGCTGGCTCCAGAACTATTTTTTGATCTGTGTTTGTATAGATCCTAGCACAATGGGGTCCATATCTGGGACACCTGGGCACTATGATAATGCAAATAATTCTTTATTAATAATCCTTATGCTCACACTCCAATTTATGCTCCAAAGTTGTGCCTGCCATATTGAAAATGTTGTTCTTGTGTTTCTGTTCTGGTCTTCCTTCTGATGTCTGTATGTTTTCATTCCTGTTCCAAACTTTCCTAATATGAAAGTACTGCTAATCAGATGAGAAGCATATCAAAAACACATAAGGCAGCAAGTACAACATATCTTGTGATCTTCAACTCACCTTATACACATTTGATTTTCTCAAGTGAAAATAACTGCCAGCTAATTCTGCATTTCACTTCATGGTGGAATACCTGGAACATCCAGTGAAAAGTGACCTTTTAAATCTTTTCAAAAAAGATTTCGGTGCTTGTGAAAAGTGCTGGAAACTGAATTTCTCTATCTATAGAACGATTATAATGTGGGCAGTGATATTGTTCTTCGCATACGTCAGCCCTCCTCTAGGGATGAGATAGTAGCTTCAATCTCCAAGCCCTCTCTCTTGAGGCTGCTTATCAGGTTAAATGTTGTGGATAACCTGTCCAATTGTGATTACCAATTCCTTTTACATGGGTCACCAATCTGTCATTTGGTGACTATTTCCACTCTAAACCAGTATCCTAGGGGTGAAAGGCTCAGAATCCTTTTCAAAACTCACAAACATGTCACCCCTCCTCTCTTTATCTTTTTGTGAAACTAAAGAAAAATTACAATTTACTGTTTTCACTGTATGTGTAAAATGTTTTGCCACACCCTGAATTCTACCTCTTTTCATAGCATAAAGACCTATGGTGAAATCCTGACCCCACTTGAAGTCAATGGGAGTTTTGTCACTGATTTCAGAGGGGCTGGGATTTCTCCCAAGAGCTTTTGTGTGTGTTTGTTTGTTTGGCAAAAGATTTTCATATTTTTTGTTGTGGTGATTTTTTGTGTCGTTCTCCCCCCCCCCCCCAAACCCACCCTTCCTCCCCTTTTGAAACACTTTTTCTTCCAGAAAACTCCCTCAGCAGATGAAATGTCATGAAACTTTGATTTAGGTATATTTCACTAATTTTCCATATGGCAAAACCAGGAGCATTTTCGATGTTGATGTTTGTAAACTGTACATTTTTTTTAGTGAGGTGAAAGAAAGCAAGGAAAGATACAGTCAACTTTTACTTAGCCTTCAAGTGATCCAAAGGTTTGTGGTGGAAGTTAAACCCTTCACACTAATTTCCTTTCTATAATTAATTTTAAAATGTTTAAAAGAATTGCAACATACCTTGCTTTACATCAGACATAATAAATATTATTTTTCACACTTAATAAACGTATTTCACTCTTTATTTTTCTTCCAGGTATCTGATTTTGAAAGCTTTGTTGGCTCTTTAAATGACCAGGGTTATCTTTTGAAAAAAGGTCCAAGAGTTTATCAGCTTCAAACTATGTGAAGGAACCACCACAATGAAAGCAAATGTTCTTGAGGCACAGTAATCATATTTGAAATGGAATAACTGGTGGACATGTTGCACTAGGAGTCCATTACCATATAACCTGCAGTCTACTATGGATATTCCTAAATAAATGTTACAGATGTCCGAAGCTTCTATTAGCTGAGACATGACACTCCCAGAAGAACTGCCCTTTTAAAAGCAATACTTTCAGGAATGAGGGACACTACCATATTTACTTCCAGAAGTGTTCTCAGAGAAGATGATATTTCATGCTGCCATTTGGAAGTACTGTAGTTCAAATAAGAGTTATTTGAGATGAGGCTCTCCATCATCAAAGATAATAGCAAGAGGAGAATGGGTATTTACATTCATCCTATCAAAAGACAATCATAGATTTTACTTTCAGTTCAAATAACTCAAGATGCCTGGTGTTACTTAAAAATGAATAGAAATGTTACAGAAAGTATTTTCTCAATCAGAAATGGTAATATTGAAAAGATTTGAGAGTAACCCAGATTTTAGTAGTGTAATGAAATCAATTAAATAGCTTTAGCACTATTTTGAAATGTGTTCAAGAAATTGGTAGTTTTCATGCTGAGGCTCCATGCAGTGTATAGTTTTAAGGAACGTGGTAGTTAACTGAAAGAAATTAATTTCTTTATTTAAAGTTTCACTTTTGCAGCTTACTATTTTAAAGAGCTATATACAGTACTTGAGATTTTATTTAAAATGTCAGTATGAAAAAATCAAACTTTAGTTGTGCATATTAAAGATAGAAGTGAAATAGAATGCATTTAATATACATTAAAATCTATATTAAAGACAAATTTGGGATTCAGTCAACAAGTGACATTAAATACTTAATAGCATGGAAATTTAAAGCAATTTTGTCATAAAATATAATATACATTTTGTGCATTAATTTGTAGTATTCCTGATGTATGTTAAACTGACTTAAACAAGGACATCCCACAAAAGGGAGGTAATATATGTATATATAAGATCTGCTGCTTTGATGCCTGCTAATCCAGTTTTTTTCCTAAAGTAATTCCTCTTCCCATAATACAAATGCAAGATGGGGAACATGTCTGAAATGTTACATATTGAGGTCACTACGAAGATGATTAAGATTTTATCAGAAAGATGTGAATATGAAGGCTTTCTGTTTTAAGACTTTGTTTCTGATCTTTTCCATCTTTGTTTTGAGGCAGATTATTACTTATTTAAGAGGAAGCATTGGTTTTTAAACAAATTCAATAAACTTTCCTCAACTTATGTTTAAAGAAAAGTCTTGTGCCTCTGAAGTTTTGTGCCTTGAGATGAAATCCCAGTTTGAAAGAAAGATTTAGGATCCCCTCACCAGCAAACAGCTTAAAGCCCCAATCCTGCAAAGGGACCCAGCTGAGCAGTTCCTTTACTACCATGGGAAATGAATGCAATTATTTGTAGGTGTAAGGACTGTCCATTAAGAACCCTTCTTAGGATCATGACCTAACATCAAAAAGACAAATGAGGGGTAATTTTAAGTTAAAGCTCTTCATTTAAAAAACAAAATACCAACATGTTTTTATGACATTTTATTTGCTTGAATCTAAAACTAGAAATCCTGATTGTTCTGATTTTCTATTTATTGTGTATGGCAGTTCCCTAGTACTAAAGAATCCTTGTGCAGCATGGCTACTGCATTGACTATCTAGTTCAAGATTTGACTGAAGCCATATTTAATCTTCAGTTACCAAATACCTTAAATATTTTCTGGGTCTGTATAATGAATCAGCTCAAAAAACTGCAAAATTCTCTTTTCCAGTTTTCCATACTGTGCTTTTTGTTTTGTTTTTTATTTTTAGAGATGCTACTTATTGCTGTAGCAGCTAACCTAAATGTACTGTAACTCTTCTGTAGCCTACCCTATGAGCGAATTGTCCCTACTGTAATTCAGAAACCGATTTTATCAAATGTGGAATAGTTAACGAAGGGACAAAAACAGTAACCATGAGTTCATTAAAGGTTTGATCTAAAGCCCCCTGCCGTCACCAGCCAGTATAATTGACATCACTTAGATTTGGATTGCATTCTTGTAATTTTTCTTGGGCCCCTAGAACCCAGGCTTTTCCCCATGAAAAGGCTAGTGTGGCACTTAAAGGTTTTTTTTTTTTTTTAACATCGTAAGTTACTCCCCATTGCTTCACTATCAAAGCCCTTGCATGTACCGGACCCCATATACCGCCTTGAAGAGTGAGACACCTCTGTTTGCATGTTTTTGTCTTAAAAAGTAACAGCAGGGCCCTGATAGGTATATTCACTCTTTAAGGGTGTCATAAATATAAAGGGAAGGGTAAACCCCTTTGAAATCCCTCCTGGCCAGGGGAAAGCTCCTCTCACCTGTAAAGGGTTAAGAAGCTAAAGGTAACCTCGCTGGCACCTGACCAAAATGACCAATGAGGAGACAAGATACTTTCAAAGGCTGGGAGGAGGGAGAGAAACAAAGGGTCTGTGTCTGTCTGTAATGACAGGTTTCAGAGGAACAGCCGTGTTAGTCTGTATTCGCAAAAAGAAAAGGAGTACTTGTGGCACCTTAGAGACTAACCAATTTATTTGAGCATGAGCTTTCGTGAGCTACAGCTCACTTCATCAGATGCATACCGTGGAAACTGCAGCAGACTTTATATATACACAGAGAATATGAAACAATACCTCCTCCCACCCCACTGTCCTGCTGGTAATAGCTTATCTAAAGTGATCATCAGGTGGGCCATTTCCAGCACAAATCCAGGTTTTCTCACCCTCCACACAAATTCACTCTCCTGCTGGTGCTAGCCCATCCAAAGTGACAACTCTTTACATAATCAAGTCGGGCTATTTCCTGCACCAATCCAGGTTTTCTCACATCCCCCCCCACCCCCATTCACACACAAACTCACTCTCCTGCTGGTAATAGCTCATCTAAACTGACCACTCTCCAAGTTTAAATCTGCTGCAGTTTCCACGGTATGCATCTGATGAAGTGAGCTGTAGCTCACGAAAGCTCATGCTCAAATAAATTGGTTAGTCTCTAAGGTGCCACAAGTACTCCTTTTCTTTTTGTGAATACAGACTAACACGGCTGTTCCTCTGAAACCTGTCTTAGAACTTTTAGTAAGTAATCTAGCTAGGTATGTGTTAGATTATGATTTCTTTAAATGGCTGAGAAAAACATTGTGCTGAATAGAATAACTATTTCTGTCTGTGTATCTTTTTTGTAACTTAAGGTTTTGCCTAGAGGGGTTCTCTATGTTTTTGAATCTAATTACCCTGTAAGATATCTACCATCCTGATTTTACAGGGGGGATTTCTTTATTTCTATTTACTTCTATTTTTTATTAAAAGTCTTCTTGTAAAAAACTGAATGCTTTTTCATTGTTCTCAGATCTAAGGGTTTGGGTCTGTGGTCACCTATGCAAATTGGTGAGGCTTTTTATCCAACATTTCCCGGGAAAGGGGGGGGTGCAAGTGTTGGGAGGATTGTTCATTGTTCTTCAGATCCAAGGGTCTGGGTCTGTAGTCACCTAGGCAAATTGGTGAGGCTTTTTACCAAACCTTGTCCAGGAAGTGGGGTGCAGGGTTTTGGGAAGTATTTTGGGGGGAAAGATGCGTCCAAACAGCTCTTCCCCAGTAACCAGTATTAGTTTGGTGGTGGTAGCGGCCAGGCCAAGGACAACGGGGGGAATATTTTGTACCTTGGGGAAGTTTTGACCTAAGCTGGTAAAGATAAGCTTAGGAGGTTTCTCATGCAGGTCCCCACATCTGTACCCTAGAGTTCAGAGTGGGGGAGGAACCTTGACAAAGGGGCAGTGAGTTTCAAATACAGCTGGTAGGACGCAGCCACGAAACAACCTGCTCCGGGGCCGGGCCGGGCCGCGCCCCCGGGGGCTGTGGAAGGGCGGCTGGGCCCCGCAGCCCCCGACCCCGCCGTGCCCCCGGCTCGCTCCTGCGGGGGAGGAGCCGCAGGGACCCCACGCGCGTGCGCACGCCTGTAAAGGCCGGGGCGGGGTGGGCGAGGGAGCGGAGAGATGGTTGCCGTAAAGCACAATGGCAGCGGTCGCAAAAGTCGCAAACCCACCCCCAACGCCTTCAGGCACACATCTGTCCGGTGAACTGAGGCTGAGGGGTGGCTGCCCCCTCCCCTGCGTCTGGCAGGGCTGAAGTGCGCCCAGCGCCCTTACGGGGGGAGGGGGTGGACGCCGCCATGTTGGCCACCGCTTGGCTGGGCAGATGCTCCTGGGGGCTCCTGAAAGGCGCGAGCCGGCCCCTGCGGGGCAGCGGCGCGAGGCCGCTCGCGAGCCGGTCCCGGGCGACCGGAGGCGTAAACAGCCGCCGCGGCTTCTGCCTCGCGCTGGGGGCCCCCCCGCTGAGCGGCCTCGCGCCGCGGGCGCCGCCGCCGCCGCCGCCCTCCTCCTCCTCCTCCTCCTCCTCCCCCCCCGGCGCGGGGCGGGAGTCGCGGCGGCTGCTGCTGCTGCTGCGCGCCCCCTCCCCGGCCCCGCTCTCCCCGGAGCGGCTCGCGAGCGGCTCCCCGCGCCCCGGCGGCCGGGGCCCGGTCCCCGCCGGCGGGGAGAGCCCCCAGCCGCGGCGGCGCAGCGACGGTGAGGCGGGCCCGCCGCGGGACGCGGCGCGGAGGGGCCGAGGAGCCGCCAGCGGCTACTCGGAGCTGGTACGTGCTTGTGAAGAAGGCCCCGCCGGCCCCCTCCACCCCACCCCGCGCCACGCAGTCGCCTCCGCCCGGCCCGCTGCCCTCTCCCGCGGCCGCCCCGCCAGCCACAGCCCCCTGCCCGGGGAAGGAGCCTCCCACCGCGTCCGCCTCGTCACCGAGCCGCCCCCGCTGGATCCCCCTGCGGCGCCCGCCTGGCTCCTCAGCCGCCGCAGCCTGGGCTGCGAGGAGGCCCCGAGTCCCTCTTGTGCGGACGGGTCCGCGTGGCCGGGCGCTGCGTGAGCGCGGCCGCGGCTAACAGCGCACCGGGGTCACTCGTCCGGGGCCTGCCAGTGGGTGTCTCCGGCGCCCGGGGCTAGGCAGGCCAGGGCACGCGGCAGCATGGCCTCTGGATCGCGTCCGCCCTCTGCTCTTCGCTCCAGATACAGTCCTAGGCAAGGCGTGAGTCGTCGCGCAAGTGAGCAGCTTGAGTGGGGAAACAACCTGATGCTTCCCCCGTCTCTGCCTGCGAAGTCACATGAAAAGGACAAACTGCCTTGTCTTGTCTAGGATTTTACATCACAGTTAACTGGAGAGCACACCCCTTTCCCTAGTGAAGTCACCGCTTGCGGGCCCAGCGGTGGGGGATTCCCGAGCAGCCCGAGGTTTAGAGTTTAGCAAATTGAGATTCATACAAAAGGATCAGTTTGCATGAGGTACCTAATCTGCAGTTCTGCCAAAGCCCATCTAGACAGGTTCACTGAGTACTCAGTTACATTGGCTAACGTATTCTCTGGAAATGTAAGATGTTCCCTTCTCCCTTTCCAGTAAGCCATACTTGTTAGCTTTTTATCTCAAGTCTCCTATGCCGTTCTTTTCCTTACTTGACTTCATGCATGTTAAATTTTCCAGGTTTGGTGCACTTGATTTATTATCTTACCAGGCACCCCCAACACACTAGGTTCCTCCTATCTTTTATGCCAGGTCTGTTCTATATTCATGATAATTGTCTGTCCTGTGTTTTATATTTATGGAATAAACAGTTTTGGTTCCTCTCTTTCATAGTCTGTATTTACAGCTTAATCAGTTCCTTTGCAGATGCATCCATTACAGTGTTTATTTGTTTGCATCTATTTCAGTCCTGTCCCAAACATTCCCCATTCCTTGGGCAGCTGTTCGCTGCTCACCTGCGCTTAGTTTTTCATACTGAGGTTGAAGCTGGAGGTGCTAACATGAAACCAACTCAGTCTACTTTTAAAGATACAAAGCTTGTATAATTCTAATTCATTCATATTGATTTATATGTGAGGGCGAGTTATCGTTTAAAACTAAATTGTCACAACATTTGGAGCTAATGATAGCTCAGTTTTATGAAATAAAAAATTCTAATAAAGAGCATTATAAATTTTGAAAGTTTTGTTTTCTAGCAAACTTACCAAGATGCATTTTGCATGTTTTAAAACAAATTGTTCTTTTATTTAAAAAAAAAAAATTGGTTGTTCATTGGTGGTCAAGTATCAGAATAAAATGGCACGTGGTATTGGAGCTGTTCAGGCTCCCCTTCTTGTCTTGGTTATAGGTTCAGGTCTGGTCAAGAGGTTTATTTCCCAGAATTTCAAGGCATTCTGGCAATCCAGGTTTCAGTCAAATGTGAATTTACTGTGAATATTCAAATCACATGCAGGCTTGACTGATTTTTTTTTTTTTTTTTTTTTTAATTTTCTTATTTTCCAGTATGAAAACCCATGGACAATCCCAAATATACTTTCTCTGGCAAGAATTGGTTTGGCTCCAGTTTTGGGTTATTTGATTGTTGAAGAAAATTTCAACATTGCATTGGGTGTTTTTGCTTTGGCTGGGATAACAGACTTGGTATGTTGCATAACAGAGTTTTGAAATGTATTTTGTTGTTTTTTAATTTAAAATCACACTTACTGCATAATGTATAAACAGTTTACTAATTCTCTTAAAATTTAAGTCAGTAAAATGAGATCAGCTAGTATGCTAATTATTTTGTAGAAATGCCTGAGAAAGCCATGATGACAAGACAGGCCCAGATTCTACCACTCATTAAGGCTGCTTTGTGCTGCTCTGTTGGTGCAAAACAGCCTTAAAGATTCCCTAAACAGGTAACTGAGAATCCCCCAGTGAGTTGTGTATAAACTGTATTTATTGCAAGCAACTGTCTGCTTGCAAATGCAGATTAAGAATTTCTGCATCCAGAAGAGGTAATCATGTATGCAGATTAGCAATGTTTCTGACAATCAGGTGCTCTATGAATTTCCTGGAATTAGGATGTGCTCGCAAGCTTCTAGACTAGAATCTGAGTAGTCAGATGGAAAGTGTTCAATACGTTATTTGTATCTTCTAACACAGTGGTTCCCAAACTTGTTCCGCCGCTTGTGCAGGGAAAGCCCCTGGCAGGCCAGGCGGGTTTGTTTACCTGCCGCGTCCGCAGGTTCGGCTGATCGCGGCTCCCAGTGGCCGTGGTTCGCTACTCCAGGCCAATGGGAGCTGCTGGCCTGGAGCAGTGAACCGCGGCCACTGGGAGCCGCGATCGGCCGAACCTGCGGATGCAACAGGTAAACAAACCGGCCCAGCCTGCCAGGGGCTTTCCCTGCAGAAGCGGCGGAACAAGTTTGGGAACCACGGTTCTAACAAAGTTGACTGATAATTAGGGCTGTCGATTAATCGCAGTTAACTCATGTGGTTAACTCAAAAAATTAATCACAATTAAAAAATTAACCACAATCACAGTTTTAATTGCACTGTTAAACAATAGAATACCAACTGAAATTTATTAAATACTTTTGAATGCTTTTCTACATTTTCAAATGTATTGATTTCAGCCACCATTCCAGAGGACACGCTTCCATGCTGATGATGCTCATTTTAAAA